AATTCCCTACTTCCATGGATGAATTTGGTTGTGCATCTTCCCAGGCTTTTTAACAAATATATGATAAATATATGATATGATGGTGTGTATATATGTATGCTATGCATGTATATTTTCCCTAATTTAATAATAATATTTAGCTTTGTCTATGTTGTTGCAAAGCCTTTCTAATCATATGATTAATTTTTGGGTTTTATCAATAAAAGTTTAGTAGACTTCTTTAAATCTTGATACTTTTTTTAATCAATGTCATATAGACACTGAAAGACTAGATAGTCCTGTGATTAGTGGTACAATTGATTTTACCAATTAAGAATTGAAATTATGTTTTGTTTTTTGTTTTTTAAGATTTATTTATACAAGAACCGGGGTACAGGCCAGATGCATGGGAGGGTGAGAGGATTCACCAGAGACAGAGCAAGGAACAGAACAGGCAGACTGATGAAATACCCTGCTGAGGGTAGCAGCGGGCGCGGCAGGAGAGGTCTGCTCGCCATGTGGGTTGCTCCGAGGCCACTGGGGATCGAACCGGCACTGCAGAGGCTGCGGACAGATTCACAGTGCTGTGTTCAACTGCCTGCGCCACTAGGGAGGCCCTGAAGTTGTGTTTTATTGAGAAAATGAAATAACTACTACATAGCCTCATAGCACAACATTTAAGCAGTACTAAGTGATGTTGAACATTTTTTCATATGCCTGTTGGCCATTTGCATTTCCTCTTCAGAGAAGTTTCTTTTCAGCTCTTCTGCCCATTTTTTGACTGGAGTATTTTCTTTGTTGTTGTTGAGTCTCATCAGCTCTTTGCAGATTTTTGTGATCAGTCCTTTATCATTAGTGTTGGGTGCAAAAATGTCCTCCCAGTCAGTGGGGTTTCTCTTTGTTTTTGTTATTGTCTCTTTTGCTGTGCAGAAGCTCTTTAATTTGATGTAGTCCCAGCTGTTTATCTTTGCCTTCACTATCACTGCTTTGGGTGATGTGTCTGTAAAGATGTCTTTGATGTGCATATCATGTAGTGTTTCGCCTATATTTCCTTCTATGTATTTTATGGTTTCAGGTCTTATGTCTAGTTCTTTAATACATTTTGAGTTGGTTTTTGTGCATGGTGTTAGGTAGTAGTCAAGCTTCATTCTTTTGCATGTAGCGACCCAGTTTTCCCAGCACCATTTATTGAACAAACTTACTTTGCTCCAATGCATAGTCTTTGCTCCTTTGTCAAAGATTAGTTGACCATAAATCTGTGGGTTTATTTCCGGATTTTCTGTTTGATTCCATTGGTCTATGTGTCTGTTCTTGTTCCAATACCATGCAGTTTTGATGATTATGGCTTTCACTGCAAACATCTTTTCATATTAACAGATGTTTTAGTTTAGGCTGCTAAAACAAAGTAAGACTGGGTAACTTATAAACAGATAATTTATTTCTTACCCTGCCAAAGACTTAAAGTCAAAGATCAAGGTGCCAGCATGGTTGAGTTCTGACTTCTAAAGAGCTGACTTCTGGGTTACAGATGACCATTTTCTTGTGTATCCTTAACACGGCAAAGAAAAGGAAGAAAGCATTCTGAGGACTTTCGTTCAAGTACTAATTCCATTCATGAGGGCTCCATACTCAAGGAATCCTCCAGTTGCCTCTGAAAGACCCTGCACACACATACCCATACCTCTTAATACCATTGTATCAATGATAAAGATTTCAACACATGAATTTTGAGGAGACCTACCTAAACATTCAGTTCATAACAAATCAAAGTCAGCCTCATTTTTAAACAGTGTTATGATATTAAAATTTTACTTTTTTTAAAGATTGATTTATTTTATGCGTACAATGTATAGGCCAGAGGTGTGGGGTGGGGGTGAGAGAATTCCTGAGACAGAGTGGGGAGCAGACAGGTGGACTGATTGGAATACACTGCTGAGGGGAGCAGCATAGGCAGGAGAGGCCTGCTGTGCCAAGTAGGTCATCTCTCTGGCTGGGGATGTAACTTGTGCTGCAATGGCTGCTAATAGTTTCACAGCGCTGAGACTTAACCCCTTGCACCACTAGGGAAGCCCAGAAATTTACTTTTTTTTTTAAGTTTTTTTTTTTTTTTAATTTATACAAGAACTGGGGTGTACTAGAGGCGTAGGAGGGTGAGAGAATTCACCAAAGACAGAGTGGGGAGCAGAACAGGCAGAAGGACCGAAAACACTTCTGAGGGGAGCAGCGGGTGCGAGAGGAGAGGTCTGCCATGCCATGTGGGTATCTCCCTGTCTGGCCAAGAATCAAACCCCCACTGCAAAGGCTGCAGACAGCTTCACAGCACTGCGCTCCACCCACTGCGCCACAGGGGAGGCCCACCTTCTCAGTTTTAATCTTCAGTAGTACTCAGATGTAGGTGATATTATCCCCAATTTACCAGAAGAAACTGAAGCTTAGAAGTGTTACAGAACTTGCACAAGGTCTTGACTGTAGAAAATTGCAGAACTAGACTTTTAAGTTGAAGCCTGTCTTTTCTGCAGAGTTCATGCTTAAACAGTTAAACAAAACTTCTCTGTAGTTGCTTCCCAAAACAATTGCAAGTTATCCATTACTGCTTTAATGGGACGAGGGTATCATTATCAAGTAATGAGGCTGAATTGAAAAGTTGCATTCTCCCTATTCTGTTTACTATGTAATCATTTCTATATTAAGCTATATGAAGGTCTCCCTGGTGGCACAGCGGGTTGAGCGCAGCGCTGTGAAGCTGTCTGCAGCCTCTGCAGCATGGGTTCGATTCCCGGCTGACCAGGGAGATTCACACATGGCGTGGCAGACCTCTCCTCTCACACCTGCTGCTCCCCTCAGCACTGTATTTCGGTCATCTGCCTGTTCTGCTCCCCACTCTGTCTCTGGTGAATCTTCTCACCCTCCCATGCCTCTGGCCTGTATCCAGCTCTTATATAAAAATAAATAAATCTTAAAAAATATATATAAAAATTATTTATAAACATTGTATGTTTACTCAGGTTTTCTGTTTTTAATTTTCTTTTTAAAATTAATAATCATAGTTCTAAAGATAGACATCGAAAACTCCTTCTCTGTCAGAATCTATTTCTCCGTCCCACTCACAACCCTGTGGTATTTTTATAGTTTATTTATACAGCTGTTTATACATATGTAAGGAAAAAATATACATATATGTTTCTCCCATTCAAAGGTGCATTTTCTACACATAGTCCTGCTTTGTTCTATCTGCTTCTAATTTTCAGTGTGAAAAAATATCTCATTAATAGAGTTTACCCTTTTCCTAGTAGCTTTCTTCTGCGTTTGGCACTTTTTCTTTGGGAAGTTTTGTAATGTATGACAGCAGGAGTTTCTGTCATAGGTGATTTTTAAAAATTCCTTGATCACAGCATATTTGAAAATTATTTTGTATAGGAAAAAACCCAAACCAGACCACAATCCCTCAATGTATTCTGTGATTCTGTCAGAATTTTTTTTGTTTATATGTTTTTACATGCAGTCTTTTATTATTATTTTTTTAATTTTATTTTTGTATTCCCCATACAATTGCAACCCCCTTATTTTGACCCCAAACCCTCCTTTCCCTTTTCCCCCATAGTGTGTCTCTGGTTCATAGTTGTTTGTTGATTTTGATTTTTTCTTTCTTATAATTATTCTTTTTCCTGGTCCCTTATTTAGGTTTTCTAGATTCCTGCTATGAGTGAGACCATCCGGTATTTTTCTTTTTCTTTCTGGCTTATTTCGCTGAGCATGAAGCCTTCCAGCTCCATCCATTTTGCTGCAAATTGCATGTGTTTATCTTTTTTGATTGCTGAGTAATATTCCGTTGTGTATATGTACCACATCTTCTTGATCCAGTCATCTCTTTTTGGGCATTTGGGTTGATTCCAAAGCTTAGCTATTGTAAACAGTGCTGCTATAAACATAGGGGTGCAGGTGCTCTTTGGAATGGATGTTTCTGTGTCCTTTGGGTAAATACCTAGGAGTGGAATTGCTGGATCATATGGAAGCTCTGTGTTTAGTAGGTTGAGGAATCGCCACACAGCTTTCCATAGTTGTTGGACCAGTTTGCACTGATTCTGTGCGATTTTGAAGGAGTGATATGTACTATAATAGCATTCATTTAAGGGCCTCCCTGGTATCCAAGGGGTTAAGACACAACCTATGAAGCTGTCTGCAACCTCTGCAGCACAAGTTCAATCCCCAGCCAGGGAGGTGACCCACATGGCGCAGCAGACCTCTCCTGACTCACCCGCTGCTCCCCTCAGCAGTGCATTTCAGTCAATCTGCCTGTTCTGTTCCCCAGTCTGTCTCTGGTGAATCCTCTCACTCCCCACACCTCTGGCCTGTACCCCAGTTCTTGTGTGCATAAATGAATAAATCTTAAAAAAAAATAGCATTCATTTAAAAACAAAACATGGGACCTCCCTGGTGGCTCAAGGGGTTGAGATGCAACTTGTAGGGCTATCCGCAGCCGCTGCTGCTCGGGTTCCATCCCTGGCCAGGGAGCTACCCACGTGGCACAGCAGACCTCTCCTGGCTCACCCGCTGCTCCCCTCAACAGTGTATTTCAGTGGATCTGCCTGTTCTGTTCCACACTTTGTCTCTGATGAATCCTCTCACCCCCCCCCTACACCTCTGGTCTTTACCCCAGTTCTTGTAAGCGTGGATAAATAAATCTTTAAAAAAAACAAAACATGATCTTTTTAATAAATACTGCTCACCTCTGTCTCTGGTGAATCCTCTCACCCCCCACACCTCTGGCCTTTACCCCAGTTCTTGTAAGCGTGGATAAATAAATCTTTTAAAAAAACAAAACATGATCTTTTTAATAAATACTGCTCACCTCTGTCTCTGGTGAATCCTCTCACCCCCCACACCTCTGGCCTTTACCCCAGTTCTTGTAAGCATGGATAAATAAATCTTTAAAAAAAAAAAAACCATGATCTTTTTAATAAATACTGCTCATTTTTGGTTCAGTGTGATTGTTAACTCTCCTTTCTTCTCATTTATTGTAGTTAAGGCAGTCCCAGTCTTACTGCACAGACACAGAATGTCTTCAGGAATGTAAGTAACAAGTGTTTTACCATTAGAGGCCAGGTGACTGAATATTTGTCAGAAATTATTCTTACTGTTATTTAAGGAAGTGCTCTAAGTAATAGTTTTCCTACTTTAAATATTTAACTTGAGAAAATATTTTTCCCTGTCTGAAAAAACATGCCCTGATCATTGAAGAAAATGTTAAAAACAGAAAAAAAGAAAAGGACAAACTTCCAGAATAATAAGAGCTAAACACTTTGATACCTTGGTGTGTACACCCTTCCACACCTTTTTCTTGCCAAATATACGTGTAATGGAGCAATTTTGGCTGGTTTAACTGTGACATCAAACCCATCCCTCTTTACCTAATATTTTCAGTTTGCATCCCTTGTCAGCTTTAAGAACTTCTGAGTGAGGAAGCCATTCTTCCCTAAGGTTTGGAAACTTTGGGTGCTCAAAGCGTCATTCCTTTGACTCTGACATGAGCATTCTCAAGAGGGCCTGGGCAGTGGCAAGGTATCTTGCTTTGGCTTTGTGGGTAATGGCGACAGTAAAACGAGGATCAGAACAGACAGGAAAATGGATGAATGGGACCAACAGACTTTGTGGCTGTTACCTGAGATCACTTTTTTCAGGACAGAAGTAACTTGAAGTATACTTTTAAGGTTAACTAGTACCTAACAGCAAAGCCAAACCAGTCTTGTGCCTTAGTAATTTGACTGTAAAAATGACATTCATAGAATGGTGAAGCCTGGCACAATTAGATTTCACATACACTTACAAAAATGGGTTCACTTTGTGTTTTCACTATTATAAATATATTAGTATATATAAATCTAAAAAATACTAAATATGGGGGTGCAGTAGTATTTAAGTGATTCTCTTTTGTTGGATTCTTAGGTTGCTGATACTTTTTATTATCAACAACACTTGAACAAATATCCTTCTTATGCACATTTTAAGACTGTTAATATATTGCCCAATTGTGTTTATTAATAAGGTAGTTGCTTATACTTAACATTTCCAGAGCTTTGCTACACTTTATTGTTTATAAGAAACTACAACAAAAACACATTAAGATATCATTATAGGGCCTCCCCGGTGGCGCAGTGGTTGAGCGCTGGCTTGCGAAGCTGCCTGTAGCCTCTGCAGCACCAGTTTGATCCCCAGCCACTGGGTGAGGGTCCCACATGGCATGCATAACTCTCCTGCTGCCCACTTCTCCCCTTAGCAGTGTATTTCATCAGTCTGTCTGTTCTGCTCCCTGCTCTGGTGAATTCTCTCACCCTCCTGCGCTTCTGACTGTACCCAGTGCTTGTATAAATAAATAAATAAATAAATCTTTTAAAAAAAAGATATCATTATAAAGGAATTTGTCATTGTTAATTATGATGATCACTGTGAAATGGGTGTCCTATCAAATTCTGTAAATATAGCAACTCAGAGAACTAGTACTTAGCCCCAAGCAAAAATTTTGTCAAGGGCCTCTCCGGTGGCACAAGGGGTTAAGTCACAGCTCTATGAAGCTATCTGCAGCCACTGCAGCATGAGTTGGATCCTGGCCAGGGAGGTGACCCACATAGTGCAGCAGACCTCTCCTCTTTGTCTGTTGCTCCTCTCAGCAATGTATTTCAGTAGATCCGCCTGTTCTGTCCCCCACTCTGTCTCTGGTGAATCCTCTCATCCACCCCCCACCCCGCACCTCTGGCCTGTACCCCAGTTCTGCTACATAAAAATAAATAAAATCTTTAAAAAAAAAAAAAAGAAATTTTGTCAAATCATAGTCCATGGTACAACAGGGTGATACATTTCTGGACAAGAAGGTAATGATAATGTGCAGATGTTGCGTTAGGTTGTTGGGAAGAGGAGTAGTAGCTCCCGCATTACAAATTTTTGTTGCTTTTTCATTAGATTCATTAATCTACACTATGCCTTTGATAAGCAGCTTAAATTTTTGCCCCAGTGGGTAAAGCTAAACCTGTTCTACCAGTTGAAAATCTTACTGAACTTCTTTATGGGAAAACAAGTATTAGTGACCTTTCAGCCAGTCCCACCTGTAGACCAGATAGACTGATTTCTGTGAGTAAAATTTCACTTCCTTAATCTAAATGTAAACACAACCTTTAGAGCTTAAATATTTATTTAGTCAGACTCGCCAGTACCTCTTAGCCCATTCTTTAACATTCAGTGGAAATCCTTTCTGAGAGCCTTGTTTAAATTTTATTTTATTTAGATGACTTAAACAATTGTTTTCTCTGGGTGATACAGTTACTTTTCTATATATTGTAAAGTTTCTCCTGTGAATTTATGCTGTTTGTTATAAAGTATATATTAATCCCCTCCTCAGGTTCAGTAATTTGCTATAATGAATCACAGACCTCAAGAAAACTGTTTAGCTATTACTACCATTTTATTGTAAAGGATGTAAGCCAGGAGCAGCCAAAAAAAAGATTTGCATAGATAGGGGCCAGAGGAGTACAGCGTTTTCCTGTTTTACCCTAGGTGGGCCACCCTTGCAACACCTCTGTGTGTTCACTCGCCAGAAAGCTCTCTTGAACCCCATTATTTCAGGTTTTTATGGAGGTCCTGTTCCAATGGCATAAATGATGAAATCATTGGCCTTTGGTGATTAGTTGCATCTCGAGCCCCTCTTCCCTCCTTGGAAGTTGAGAAGTGGAGCTGAAATTACCAACCCTCTAATCAAATGGCTGGCCACTAGACCCCCATCCTGAAGCTGTCTAGAGGTACACCAAGAGTCCCCTTGATAGTATAAACTCTGCAATGGTTGAATGGGGTTTCTTATGAATACAACAAATGTTCCTCTCACCCCTATCACTCAGGAAATTCCAATGGTTTAGGTGAACTGTGCCAGTAATCTGAGATGAAAACCTAAAATATTTTTCTTATTGTATCACACTATCACAGTACCCATTGTGCCTGCCATGGTGTATTGCATATATTTAAGATGATTTCATTGAATATGGAACTCATTACTTCAAGTGGTACTAAAATTTAAATGCAGTGTTTCAGCAGATCTAGTTGAAATTCTACTTCATTGGGATAGCCTCTCACTTTTGCTCCCTAGATCAATATAGAACAAGCCTGGTCACTCCTCTGAGCACTTGAACATGTAATACTGTACAATTACACTTCTTAAAATGATTAATACAAATTTTAATATTAATACAGTTGTTGGAGTCGACTTTTATTTTGTATGTGTAGAAGAAGTGGGGTATAGGCCAGAGGTGCAGGGGGTAAGAGGATTCACCAGAGACAGAGTGGGGAACAGAATAGGCAGACTGACTGAAATACATTGCTGAGGGGAGCAGCAGGCAAGACAGGAGATGTCTGCTGCACCATATGTGGGTTAACTTTGCTACTGGGGATTGAACTCAGGTCGTCAGGGTGATAGTGCTGGGACTTAACCCCTGGGCCACCACAGAGGCCCTGAAGTTGACATTTAAACATTGTTTATTAGTTTTATATTTATCTAACAATATTATATTCATTGCCTCAACTTTTGTTAAAAATACAAATTTTGTTTGTCTTTAGTACCAGGACCTTCTGGTGATAATGGCACCAGTATTACTATGATCTTGATGGCCTGGATGGTTATTGCAGTGATTTTGTTTCTACTAAGACCTCCTAATCTAAGAGGATCCAGTCTAACTGGAAAACCAACCAGTCCTCACAATGTAAGTGTTGGCAAGTTTAGAAATTCATTTTTTTGGGTGGGGAAGGGGAGGGAAAGAGGATATTAGAGAATCACAGTGTTAATTTAGTGTTCCCTTGTGAAAAAGCACATGAAAAGGCCAAATAAGTATGTAGTTTGGGATCGTGGCGAGGACTGAGGGAATGGCATTGCTACTAAGTGTTTACCATATGTATTAGATTGGTTGCGGTGGGATTTAAGAAGTCATTTCATGATCTCTTTTCAATGCTAGGGACAAGATCCACCAGCCCCTCCTGTGGACTAACTTTGTGATATGGGAAGAGAAAATTAACACCTTGCACGACCAAATGAACGAAGATGACCAGAGTACTCTTAACCCCATTAGAACTGTTTTTACTTTTGCATCTGCAATATGGGATGGTATTGTTTTCATGAGCTTCTAGAAATTCACTTGTGAGCTTTTTATTGCTTTCTGTGTTATCGCCATTCCTATTTACAGTTTATTTGAGTAAATGATTATATTTTAAAAATTTACTTGGGGTTTTTTTGGTTATCCTAAATTTAAACATTCCATTCATTCTGTTTGTAACTATGATCATAATTTTTGTGATGATTTCTGGCCTGATTGAAGGAAATTTGAGATCTCTGCATTTAAATATTTTCATTTTGATAGTTTTTAAAATTGCTCCCCCCAAGGTATTTATAAAGTTATTTGAGCTTGTTTGAGACTGTATGAAAGAAAATTAATAACCACACACTGTATTTGTATTGACCTTGGTAGTTTATTTGTGAGGGGCAGTTTTCTCTAGTTCTTGGGACTATGGCAGCCTTTGGAATATTTTATAAGTTAATAGCTAAAAATACAACTGACTTATGTGACTAGTAAAGGAGAAGCAATATTTGTTTACTAAGATTTTCACTCCCATAAAAATTTCAGTCTAATATTAAAAGCTTAAATAAACATGATGTACATATGGTGGCTGATTTGCAGTCCATTATATGACATTTGCGATCCACTGTACACAAGCCTTTCAAGGTTCATGAAAGGAGGAAAATATTAATTCTTTCTGCCTTTGCCAGACATAATCTATACAATAATAATTTATAATTTATTTTTAAAATGGGTGTTTCTCAGAAGGCTTCTTTTCTGTTGTAACACTTCCCTATTAAATGAAACTATCGTAAAGAAGTTTTGGGGGGGGGGCTCTTTGGTTATTGTCATTGAATACTATTTTTGTTCTTTGAAGAAAAAAATCTGAGTCTTTTGTTATCTTTCTGACTTAAAAAATATTTAACAAATTCTTGGTTTACTCCAAGGAAAATGAGAAGAAATCAAGGATCTTTTTCTCACCCTTTATATCATTCTTGTTTGGTAATGGGGTGAATTGGGATGGGAAGTAGCATCGGTATAAGTAAAATTTTGAAATGTATAAAAAAGTAAAAGGTTGCTTTGCTCAGTTATAAAGAAAATGAATACAAATGTCATTTAAAAAGTCTATATAACCTATATGGTTATGGATTTTTTTCCTAGCAAGTGATTGCAGATAATTTATGGGAGCTAGAAGATAGTTTGCTATCAATGTGTAATGAGTTTCCCCATAGATCAGTCAAGCCTTTCACTGTATAGATCTCAGAAATTTGTATGAATTGAATAAACTTCTCTATGTCATTGTACTATTTAATAGTCTCTGATAAAATTGTGTAATGCTTGTAGAGTTATTTCCCCCCCTTTATTATAATTACATTCTAAGCCATCATCATTGGAAAGGAGTTCATTTCATTATGTAATTCAATATTAACTGCTTGCATTCCTCCTATGCATCTTGGCTTTGTGCTCAATTTCTTGAAACAATATAACCAACTCTTAAGTTGTGTTAATTGAAGTGTAGCATAACACAGGTAAGTCAAATTTTAGATTAATGAACATCATAGAGTTAAGATTTTTCCTCTTGCTGTGGCCTACTGGATGCCATCTCATTTCTATAGCTGTTTAATATTTAAAGCAGAAAGGGCAGGACTGGCATAAGATGGAACAAAATTCCTGTAAGCATTCCTTTTTCTGCCCTGGTCCCTGAACTTTGAAGGCTTGCACATATATCTTAACAGTCTGTTCTCTAAGCAGCTGGAAAGCCCATCTCTAGCAGAGATAATGATGTTTTAGTGAATCTGTGACTCACAAATAACTGAGAATTAATTGACTTTGTTGAAGAAGTAGCCATGACATGAACCAGAATGTGTAGTGTTAGCTAGAGACCTGGAAATCTGGATTCTTATTTGTATTTCGTTTCTGTCACATACATTTAATTAACATGACATCTAGAATATTTTCTATATGGACCATTTGTTTAATTAGTAACAAAAGTTCTTAATGAGATATTTAGTCTTGGTTTTTTTCTTGTAAAGTATATGCATTCCTGACAAAGACCGTGTACTACTGCACATAAAGTGTTTCTGTTAACCTAACTAGTAATTTATATTATCCTATTTAATTTTTAAAGCTTCTACGTATTGCCGTGTATTGAGTACACTTACGCATTATTTGACTTACTAACATTCACCTGAACTGTTAACTATAATCATTTAAAAATAAATCTGGAGAAAACATGAAGTGTCACGTTTTAATCCATTTTGACTTTAAAACACTCCTCAAATGCCGTTAAAAATTTATTTTGTTTTAGAGTCATTTAATGTTCATTATGCAAGATTTTTTTTTTTTGCTTTCCATACAGAAAAGTTAACTTTGGAACTATGTGTAGTAAAAGTTTATCACTTATCTCTCCAAACACTAGCCCATGGTCAGCAAGTCATATTTTAAACAACAGCCATTCCATGGTTTCTTTCAGTGTCTTTGTGGTATGTAATATGATCGTATGTATGGAATTACTGATACCTGACATTTTCAAAGAATTCTTGGAAGTCCATCACTCTCAATGAAAGTTTGTCACTCTGAATATGTGCTAAAATTTGATCAGCTCAGTTTGATACAAAACAGCAACTTGAAGGAGAAATGAAGAGTTTACAGTTAGTAGGTTAAATTTTTGTTGTTGCAATAGTAGGTTTAGGCTTAACATTTTCTAAATAAAAAATCCTATGTATTTGTTACCATGTCTAATGATTACTTTGTTAAAAGCAAAAGTGGTCATGTGGTATACTAAATGTTAATTGCTGATTTTAAGTGTTTTAAATCATGCCAAACAAATCATGTCTGTGCCATCCAGGGTTTATTGTAATCTTTTACTGAGTACTTGGATTGGGATAAAGGGCTTGTACTATGCACTTTTTATTAATGAATAAATAGAAAACATTAGTAACACTCATTGTTTTTTGTTTGGCTTTTGTGGGAAGAGAAGCACACGACTTTTGGTTAGTAAAATGTTAACAGCCTTTATTAAATGTTTTCTTTGTAAGATGTTTTACTCATGACTAAAGAGATTCCTAAGAGAGAACTTTAACTTACAAGGAGAATATATAATAGCAGTATGAGCTTCTAAAAATAGGGGTTCTAAGAATGCCTAGGAAATTAGATTGCAACTGTATTTCTTCCATTATTTTTTTTATTTCGCCCTACTATACAGTCAATGGACATTTGCAGTGAGGGAACAGTACCTGATAGTGTTAATTATTTGGTCAGACATGTTAACAAAAAGGAGCTAGGCATGTAACTGCGCTAAGAAAACACAGAAGTGAAAGTTGTTTTTGTTCTGTGACCTGGAATGCATCCAGTGCTAAAGATCATTACTATGCCATATACAAGTAAAAATGATAAATATCTCAGGCATGAGTATGTCAGTATTCCTTATAAAATAGCAAAACTTGTGAAATGGAGATAATGATTTCAACTAAAGTTTATCATGTATGTCAGTGGATACCTGAATCCCCAGTAAAATTGTAAATTTTCAGTAAGTGGCTCTGCAGTACTAATTTTCCTCCCAGATAATGAAATTCTAATAATTTTTTTTTTTTTTTTTTTTTGCTTTCTGCAATTTCATCTGATGGTTTTCAAAGTTCAGAATCTCAATTTATAGAGTCGGTGAAATGCTTTCCCCACCCCGTAATGTTCCATGATTATTTCATTCTCAGATTTTTTTTTAAAGATTTATTTATGCATACAAGTACTAGGGTACAGGCCAGAGGTTGGGGTGGTGAAAGGATTCACCAGAGACAGAGTGGGGAACAGAACAGGCAGATTGACCAAAATACACTGCTGAGGGGAGCAACAGGGGAGTCAGGAGAGGTCTGCTGCGCCATGTGGGTTGCTCCCTGGCTGGGGATCAAATTCGTGTTGCAGTGGCTGCAGATAGCTTTATAGGTTGTGTCTTAATCCCCTGTGCCACCAGGGAGTCCCCTCATTCTCAGATTTTTGAAAACTGAAATTTATCAGGGCTTAAGCATGCAAAACATCAAGAAATGTTTTTCTTTGTGTCAATATTTTAAGAACTCAGTCACATAGATAGGTGGGAACTGGCAACAGTTAAGATTGAATTCCCTGTGCTCTCCTGTATTAGTAATTTCGGATGCTAATCTCTGAGAGCATCAAAGATATTCAGAGTGTTTCTGTTGAAAAATGATAGCTGACATTGATACTATCACTTACTCCATAAATTTCACTGAATTCTCAAATGTCTACTTCCATTGTCATAATCTTAAGAATTTTTAGTGTTGTTTAGCCTTTAATGTTTAGTTAGCCTTGTGGGGGAAATGTTAAATAAAGCTATCTTTGTGTGAGCCAGGTATAAAGTTAAGATAAATAACTCACTCATATTTTTACAAATAAAAATTTTTTTATTTACAAACAAAAAATCTGCTAGGGGCTGTAGCATACCTATAACTTGTAGGGCTTCTCAAATTTGATTTTGGGGTCCCAAATGGCTTTTGCTTATATGGATTATATCTATAAATATTGACTAAGTCCAGAATTAAAACACATTTAAAAGTATCAAATATTTTAAAACTACAAACCCAATATATGTTAATAGAAATATTTTTATAATATTGGCACTGTTCTATATTTTTATAAATCTCTTAATGGATACTTTAATAGAATAAGCTTTTCCATCATCTCCACTCTGCATTCAGTGTTGCATATGTTACCTTCTTATGAAACTGCATATATGTTAGTTTACAGTAACTAAAAAAAAAAACAAACATTATATTGAGCATCCTATGCCTTGACTAAGAAACAAACTCTGTGACCCGTGGACAGCTCATTTAATTTGGAGCATCAATTACCTCATTTATTAGATAGAATGATATACTTTACAGCACGTTGAAGGAAATGCTTATAAAACTGCTTTGTAAAAAGCCACTATCCCAGCACACACACACACGACTCTTAAAAACCATAAATTATAAGAAATGTATGAATTGAAAACACTTCCATTGAATGGAATTCACCCTCTTAGGAATGGACAATGTCATTTTTAGTTCAGTGTCTTGCATACGAAAAACATTTAAGAGCCTCCCCTGGTGCTGCAGCAGTTGAGCGCTGGGCTGCGAAGCAATCTCTGCAGCACCCGGCCGCAGGTGAGGGTCTCATCTGGCGCGCAGACCTCTCCTGCCGCACCCTGCTGCTCCCCTCAGCAGTGTATTTCGTCAGTCTGCCGGATCTTTTTTTTTTTTTTTAAGATTTATTTATTTATTTATACAAGCACTGGGTACAGAAGCGCGGGAGGGTGAGAGAATTTACCAGAGCCAGAGCGGGAAGCAGAGCAGGCAGAGGGACCGAAGTACACTGCTGAGGGGAGCAGCGGGCGGCAGGAGAGGTCTGCGCGCCAGGTGGGACCCTCCTCCGGTGGCCGGGGAGCAGCCGGGGATCGAACCGGTGCTGCAGAGGCTGCGGGCAGCTTCACAACCCAGCGCTCAACCGCTGCGCCACCGGGGAGGCCCAGTCTGCCTGTTCTGTTCCCCACTCTGGCTCTGGTGAATTCTCTCACTCTCCAGCGCTTCTGACTGTACCCAGTGCTTGTATAAATAAATCTTTTTTTTAAAAAAAAAGAAAACCATTAAAGATTAATATCAGTTTTCCATCAAAATTTTAAAATCCTTGGAAGGTAAACTGGAAAGCAAATAAATTTTTCTAATGCATAAATCCATTGCAAGAAAAACTAAAGAGCAAATTATTAGACTGATTGTTCTCAACCTTGGCTTAACTCTGACACACAATCAGAAAAACTTAGAGCTTCATGAAACACAAATATGAAAACAACTGGCCTAGGGCTTCCCTGGTGGCCCACGGGTTAAGTCTCAGGGCTATCACCACTATGGCCTGAGTTGGATCCCTATATGGCCACAGAGCTTACCCACATAGGGCACAGCACACCTCTCCTGTGTCGCCTGCTGCTCCCCGTCGCAGTGTATTTCAGTAAATCTGCCTGTTCTGCTCCCCACTCTGTCTCTGGTGAATCTTCTCATCCCCTACCCAGTTCTATGCAATAAAACAAAACACAACCACCACCACCAAAAAAAAAAAAAAAAAAAAAAAGAACCTGTTTACATCAAGCGGTTCTCAGGACCTATTCACACATTTAAAAGTTGAAGGCCCCCCAAATTTTCCATGTGGATTATACCTAGTGGTATTTATGCCACTAGAAATGAAAACTGATAAATTGTGAAATTATGAATAATACATTCTTTATAATGAACAGGTTCATTACATGTCAGCATAAACAGTATGTTTTAAAGAGAAGTTGCTCCATTTCCAAATAAATTATTAAAAGATTGGTATTGCATTACATTTAGACAAACCTATAATGTATGCATTCAATTTGTATATCACACTGGAGTCTGGAAAACTCCATTATATACTTGCAAAAGAATAAAAGTATTAAAAAGGACACACAACAGTATTACCATGGAAATGTTTTGACCACCTGGGCCCCATGAAAGGTGACTGTCAGAGGTCCCCAGAACATTTTTGAGAATGTCCCAGATCCAATCCAAAGGTACATTCCAGCTCGTACTGATATGATTTAATTTCTGAAATCCTATTGACTATGTTAAAGATTATGATTATCACCAAAATACAAAGAATGTAAATACAAGTAGAAAAGTGTTGAATTCAAAATAAAGGGAATTCGGCGCCTCCCTGATGGCGCAAGGGGTTAAGCACCCCACTATGAAGCAATCCGCAGCTTCTGCAGCTGAGTTCAATCCCTGAGTTCTATACCCGGCTGACAAGGGAGCAACCCACATGGGGCAGCAGACCTCTCCTGACTCACCAGCTGCTCCCCTCAGCAGTGTACTTCAGTCAGTCTGCCTGTTCTGTTCCCTGCTCTGTCTCTGGTGAATCCTCTCATGCCTGCATCTCTGGCCTGTACCCCAGCTCTTGTATGCATAAATACATAAATCTTTAAAAAATTACAAAAAATTAAAAAAACAAAGGGAATCCAATATAGGTAACTTAAATCTATGCATGTGCCCAGTTCAAAAAAAGACACCTCTACTATAGTCACATGCACTGTCATTACTTCATTTATCCCACCAGCCTGTACTTTGGAAGGAGTTGGGACTCGGTCTCTAACATTCAATAGGCGCTAAATATTTGTTGGATGAATGAATTTAACGGTATGGTCTCTTCAACGCCTATCTAGCTGATCACTTTCTATAACTCAGCAAACTGTTTTATCAACATCCAACAGTTTTCCTAAATTGTCATGACCCCGTTAAGAAAACGGTCATCTGGATGGTATTTAAATGCGCCTTTATAAACCACTATTCACTTTCCTTATGACGTACTTAATGATCTTTGACTTCAAGTACAGATTATGTCACCTGATGTAACTATTAATGAGAGTCACAGAAAAGCCATGCCTGTGCGTTTTTTTTTTTTTTTTTAAGGGTTTAAGACGACCTTGCAGTCGGGAAAAACAACTGCCTTTCACATTAAAAACTGGCAGGCATCATTCAACTCTTCCTCATAGGCGGCACTTGTATGTAGCTTTCTCTCTGCTGTTTCATGCACAGACATCCCAGATGCAGGATTGGGCAGAAGTAACCCTGAAGAACATGCCCGGAGGGCGTGGGCACCCCACTTCTGCCAGGGATGGGGCGTGGGCACCCCACTTCTGCCAGGGATGGGGCGTGGGCACCCACTGGTCCAGTCATGACGGAACTCAGCATCCTCCAGACGTGAGGCTGCTTCTTCCCAGAAGCTGTGGGTCAGACAGGATCTGACTAAACCTTGGGCCGCTGGCCCGGAGGGCGCGGTGGACCCAGGGGCCTGGAGGGTGTGGGATGGGAGTAAACCGCGGCCCGATCTGACCTGGAGGGTCCAGGGGTGCAAAGACCGGGCCAGCCCTCCAGGCCGCTGGGGAGGCCGGAAGGGGGCCGGGACCTTCCGGTCCCCTCGGGCCCTGTACACCCGCCGCGCGAGTCGGGCTGACCCCCGCGCACGAAGCCCCACCTCAGCGCCGACTGCCATGAAAACCCGGTCTAGACACCGCAGCTGAGGCCTCGGTCTCCCGCGGAGCCCAGAACCAGGATCCCGGCCCCCGGGGCCCCAGTGGACCCAGCGCGCCCGTAGCTCCGCCCATCGCCGCTCGCGGCAGGGGCGGGGCCGCTGATCTGGCGCTAGCGGATTCGTCCACGCTCGCCGGGGGCGGGGCCTTTCCCGTCTCAGGAGGATTAGCCCCGCCCCATCCGCGAGCCTGGGCCTGGGCCCGCCGGAAATAGGGCCAGACCCCGGGCTTAGCGGGCAGGAGGTGGGTGGGGCAAGGATGCGGCGCCGGCCAGAGTTTGGGAGGGCCTGGCTGCCACGGAGCGAACCCTCCCCCTTCTCGGACTGAAGCCTTAAATGCTGGCTCGGCCCGGGACTCGGGGTGCGGCGCCCTGCAGCCTGAGGGAGGGGCGTGCGGTGCAGGGAGAGCAGGCGGAGCCGGGCGCGGGTGCAGCAGCTGCAGGAGCGCGGCCCAAGCTAGGAGCTGTCCGAGCTATCGGGATAGGAGCGCAGCCGGGCTCGGTGCTTGGAAGTGGGTAAGCGCCTTTACCTGGGCTGGCCCTGCTGCAGGGTCAGGATGCTGCTGGGGTCCCGCAGGATGTGGGGGTGCGCGGCGGAGGTGTGAGCGCTTCTCCCGGTCGCTCCCTGAGCTCGGTCCAGGTCTCCTCTCTCTCCATCCCCGGCTTCTCTTTTGGGCTCTAGGCGGGAGTCGCCTTTGGAATCTGCTGTTCTGGCCATGGGATAACTTGAGCTTTTAATTCTAGACTCTCGGGTCTTCCAACTGCTGCTTTTTCTGCTTTTTCCCACTTTTTGACTTCAAACAAATGAGGTTTCCCCGGCGCCCCAGAAGGCTGAACGTGCACTGAAGGAGTGGTCCTCGGGTTAGGGACCGACCCCATTTTGGTCTCAGAGTCATAGTCTTTTGTTAGTGTTTGGAGTCTGCTCACTTAAGGGCCTGCTGCTTTCCTCACATCATTGACCGCTCTTCTTAAGAAACTAAACCAGAAAACGAAGCCAGAAAGCCCCTTTGAGGGCGGCATCCTACGACATTCCATCCTAACATCTGTATGGACTCTCCTGGAATCCACTGTTGGCCGCCACACCATTTAATTGCTCTATTTCATGTTAGGGCAGGCCTTTCTTGGGTGCTGCAGGAGATCAAGTTTGTGTGAGACCTTAAAATATTTTACCTCCTATAGAAAGGAAGATTATTGAGTAGGATTGAGAATTCTGGCACATAGAAAAGAGAAATTCACTGGTAGGGAGCTATTCACCAGTATACAGAGCAGTAACTGTCCATTGACTAACCTCAAAGACACAGTGAGTCTTTGAGTTTCTTCAGATCCCCTAAGAAATGGAGAACAGTAGTCTGGTCTGTTTCTCAGGGGGCTTCTGGAAATGAAAGAGCTTCTGTCTCCTCTGAGACGTGCCTGTTAATGTCCCTGCAACTAGTTTAAGGTAAATTAGTGGTAGACAACTCTCACAGAAAGAATCTCATTTCTCTTCTATTGCTGAATTCCTTTTTCTGACATAAAACCAATATCTAATAAACATATTCCAATTTTTTTTCCTTGGGTCAGTCATCTGTTAGTATTTAATTTTTGGAAATGATTGAGATGATGGATGAAGTTGATGTATCCAGCTATAAACCTGTTGCCTGAACTACTGGGTGGCTGTGCAGAGTATGCTGAAGAGGGATGGAGAACAGAGGAATTAAATTCAGTTGAGTTTGTAGTAGGAGCTCCCCTATATATGTTAGCCTTCGAGTTTGAAATATTGATGAGAACTCATAAAATTTTAGATGAAGAGTAGTTTTTGAATGGCCTGGTTTATTGTGACTTTCCCAAAGTACAGAAGTAAAAATTTATTTCAAACTGACTCATTGAGTAAGCAAACATTCCTGTTTTCCTGACAGTGGAGAGTTAGGAGTTACATCCAAGTCGAAATATAAAACGGAATCACAAGATATATTTGTCAAGCAAAGTGTAGTACTAACAGTGTATCAATATCTTTCATATTAAAGTTTATTGAGGATTTTATTGAAACTTCTAAGCGACAATTTATTTTGATTTGCACAAATTTTACATCCATTGGGTCATCTACAAACCACATGTAATATGAAATAGAAACATAAAATGAAATATCCCCAAACCCAAGCAGTGCTATAATACAGGTCCGCCTGTTACCAAGAATTTATCTTAGCTGTTATATATAAGGCAAGTCGAATATAGCTTGGCAATCAAGGTGGATAAGAAGTAACTCTGGGGAGACACGCTGAAGGCTGAAGTTCTACTTAGACAAGAGAGAATGATAGGATTCTGGATAATCTGCAAAAATACTATGATCAGCCATCCAAGCCAAGGATATTGATGTAACAGTCTTCATCTAAAAAAGATAGGCCCTTATGGGGAGGTATTCATTCATTTAATATTTATTGAGAGCTCACTGTTCTAGGTGTTGGGTGAGCAGCAATAAGAACTGTTAGTCCAGGGCCTCCCCGGTGGCGCAGCGGTTGAGCGCTGGGTTGCGAAGCTGCCCGCGGCCTCTGCGGCGCCGGTTCGATCCCCGGCTGCTCCCCGGCCTCCGGAGGAGGGTCCCACATGGCGCGCAGACCTCTCCTGCCGCCCGCTGCTCCCCTCAGCAGTGTACTTCGGTCCTTCTGCCTACTCTGCTCCCCGCTCTGGCTCTGGTGAATTCTCTCACCCTCCTGCGCTTCTCACTGTACCCAGTGCATGTATAAACAAAACAAACAAATAATAAATAAATAAAACATGCCTCTATTAAAAAAAAAAAAAAACTGTTAGTCCAGGAGCACTTTATTAACTGTGAACAATTTGAGCCTAAGAGTTGCATCATGGAGACATTCAATCCATGTTTACTATATGAATGTTAGCAGATCCTGTTATGATGGAGATTAATGACATTAGGCTTTCCTAATAGCCACTGGCTGTGGGATTATGTGGTAACACCCAAAGATCCTCTGATCCAAAATATTTGAGAGTCCACTTTTTAGTTATCCTAGAAACTGGTTTTAATTAGAGAGAGAGGCTGTCTAGCTATCCAGTGTGTTACTGTGTGGTAATTCTTCAGGTTCATCATAGTTCAGGACTTGATCATCAACTTTGCATATCTGGAAGGTAGATTTTTTTTTTACCCCATGCACCTGGAGTTAATGAGACTTTGGATATTAATTTGAGGTAATTAAGCTCATCAGAGACTGATGGGTACGCTAAAATGGAATTTTGCTATCACAGTAGAATAATTTTATTCCAGTGACTCTAATACTTGTGTCTCAAATCCAGATCACTCCTTTCTAGTATTATGATTTCTGGGAATCTAAATTCTCAAGCCATAGTGGAATCAGAACAGTCCAGTTTTCAGGGATTATATCATCCCAGCATTGGGAAAGTTTGTTCTTGCCCCACCTCTCTGAAACCAGAGAACTCTTCTGACTTTCAGATTTAGTGTCACTTTTCTCTGAATGGTGCTGAAATTAATACTTTGTCATTCTTGCTCTTAACTCTTTCTTTCCAGGCTCCAGACTGATCATCCCCTTTACTAACACTGCTTTCCTTCAGTGGAGTATGTTAGATTTTAGCTGCATTAATGTCATTGATTCCTATAGTCACTTTCAGCTATGTTACCTTAAATTATTAAAGATATTATTGGTCCATGACATTGTTGGCATGCTTTCCTGAAAGCAGTATTCAAGACCCACTTTCAATTCTTTTCCTCCCTAGGAGACAATTATTACCTTTCCTTAGCATCCACTTCATTGCTAATTAGCTAGCTCCTCACTTATTTGTCCTTACTTTTTAATATATCTTTATTTATTATTTATTCCCTTCTCATCTGGAATGCCCTTCCTCACTTGCCTTTTTTAAAAAATATATCCTATTCATTTTTTTTTTAAGATTTATTTATTTATTTATACAAGCGCTGGGTACAATCAGAAGTGCAGGAGGGTGAAAGAATCCACCAGAGCCAGAGAGGGGAACAGAGCAGGCAGAAGGACTGAAATACACTGCTGAGGTGAGCAGCGGGCGTGGCAGGAGAGGTCTGCGTGCCATGTGGGACCCTCATCAGCGGCCGGGGATCAAACCGGTGCTGCAGAGGCTGCGGGCAGCTTCACAGCCCAGCGCTCAACCGCTGCGCCACCAGGGAGGCCCTATCCTATTCATTCTTTAGGCCAAACTCAGATTCTCCATTTGCCATGCGGTAGATGCTTTCTTATTTCAATGATCTTTCCCTGAGGACTTTTACTCTCATTTTGTCACTTAATTGAGTATACTGCTTTATATAACTTAACCATGTTACCTGCGTGTGACCAGTTCCCTTTCACTTTTTTTTTTTCAAAGATATGTTTATTTATTTATACAAGCAGAAGCGCAGGAGGGTGAGAAAATTCACCAGAGTCAGAGCAGGGAGCAGAGCAGGCAGAAGGACCGAAGTACACTGCTGAGGGGAGTGGAGGGGAGCAGCGGGGGGCAGGAGAGGTCTGTGTGTCATGTGGGACCCACCTCCGGTGGCTGGGGAGCAGCCTGGGATCGAACTCGCGCTGCAGAGACCGCGGGCAGCTTCGCAACCCAGCGCTCAATCACTGTGCCACCGGGGAGGCCCCCATAGTAGACTCTTAAATAGGAATATTAATTTTTCATGAAGGAGAAGAGGGGAAGAAGTGTGTAGCAAGTGTGAACAATTTTTTGAAGCCAAATGCCGAGTTTTTGTGCTTCGAGATGCGGACAGTGATGCACTTGAGCTCAACTGTCCCTCCCATAACTGGGACCTTTTGGGGAAAACAGTCCCCTAAGCCACTTGGCAATTCCAATGCGGTCTTTTCCTCCCCTGCTTTTCCCGTTCTCCTTGTGTGTGCAGCACCTGATGCCTAGCGAGTGATAAAGGGCAGAACTGAAAATTAGAGAATGAAAAAAGACAACATGCATGGTTGTCAAAATTAAATTTTACTAAGCTATTAGTTTATGCTGAGCTGAATATTGGAATTCACAAAATTTAGTAGGAATATCATGTTTTTATGGCTTCACAAGTGATAATAGGGAGTTATTAGCCCACTTACTTAGGTCTTTAAGGAGAGAATCTACCACATGTAGCATGGCTTTAATATTTCCTGGCAAGTACATCCATACAATGGAATACAGTTAACTGTTAAAAAAAAAAAAAAAAAAGAGGCTTGGTTTTCAGAGTGGATTAACTGAAAAATGTCAGTTGGTGGTGGTGTATATGGTATTTTGCCTCCTGAATGGATTGTTACAATATATATATTACATGTATTTACTTGTGCAAAACAATACTGGGAGGCTACACAGGGAACTAATAAAGGGGTTGCTTGTGAAAGCAGTGAAGAGGCTAGTAGGGTTGGGGTAGATATTCTTGAATTCTTGAATACCTTGTTATACAGATTTAATTTTTGAACCATATGTATGTATTACATATTTAAAACTAAAAATAAAAAATTTCCTTTGCATGTATAGTACTAGAAATGTTGCTTTCTTTCATAGAATCATTAGATTCTAACTTCTGTACATTGTTACTGTTTTACTAAAATTCTGTTTTTGTTTTGAAAAAGTCATTAGAGATCAGACTGATAGGAATTTATATCTACCGTTCATGACTACTAAAAGATTGATTTCTAAGTCATTTTAATTTTGTGTTAATGCAGGCCAGGATTTGTATATAGCTTGGTCAGTTCATTCTCTTGCAGTAGGAAGTCTACCCAGAAAACCACTGTAAATTAGATACTCTTTGATTAACACAGGTTCAGATCTAAGAGAATTGTATCATCTTCATTATGGGCTTTGTATCTTTTTATATAGTAGTGATAGATTTACCAGACATAGTAAATAGATCAGCCTTCCAGAATACCTAATCCATGCTCTAATCCATGCTCTGGAGTATATTAACAAATTATTAAACTCTCTTATTACCTTTTTGTCCCCCCCCCCCGTTTTGAATCCATAAGTGGGTTAGAGTTGATGATGCCTGAGGACTTGGCAAAGACTAAAATTTTAAGACTGATCAGTTTCACAGTTCTTTTTCTCATTATAATGAACAAACTGACATTGTTATTATGCAGTCCCTTGTTATTTTCATTAGAGTGTGTTCATCTCTTGACTTTTGAAAAATCTATCAAAATTTCTGTAACAGCTTTGGTAACTGCAGAAATTACTTTCCCTTAACTATCTCATAGTTTCTGACTGCAGTTGAAATAGAGTTTAAAATCATTACCAACTACCTAAAAATAAACTGCTAAAGGCAAATTGTACAGGGAGTATAATTTAGAGGCCATTTTTGGACTATGGAACTAATCTTAGTATCTATCGTGTTAGTCTAAGCCTGTTGTCACACTGGTTTTTGTACATCAGCATTTATTTAAACAAGTGCACTGATCTGTTTACCTTTGAACTTTCAAAGTTCAAATTTGCTGGTGTATTAGAGACATAAATAAGGCTTTATTTCGTTTCTTGATTTTCTAGATATGATGTCATTATAATCTTTGTGGTCTTCTTCAATTATACTAGTTATTATAATGTCCTCTCCCACCATGTCCTCCCCCCAACTCCCATGTTTTATGCTAGTGTAGCTGAGAACAGGCTAGATCAGCTAATTGGGATGCTAATTTTTTCAGCACTATTTTCTTAATTCTTTTATATATATATATATTTTAAAGATTTTATTTATTTTTGCATAGAACTAAGGTGCAGGCCAGAGGTGCAGGGGGTGAGAGGATTCACCAGAGACAGAGTGGGGAACAGAACAGGTGGATCTACTGAAATACACTGCTGAAGGGAGCAGCAGGCTAGCCAGGAGAGGTCTGCTGAGTCATATGTGGGTTAGCTCCCTGACCAGGGATCAAACTCAGGTCATCACAGTGATAGTGCTGTGACTTAACCCCCAGGCCACCAGACAGGCCCCTATTTTCATAATTCTTAATGATTATGAATGTAGGAAATCTTTCCCAGTATCTGGACAGTTTTCATAAAGTGTGATGAATGTGCAGTGTGATTTCTTTATATTTTCTGTTTACAGTAGTCTTGCTGTTTGCCTTTTAGTACCATCATGTTTGAAATTAAGAAGATCTGTTGCATCGGTGCTGGCTATGTTGGAGGACCCACATGTAGTGTCATTGCTCATATGTGCCCTGAAATCAGGGTAACAGTTGTTGATGTCAATGAATCAAGAATCAATGCATGGAACTCTCCTACACTTCCTATTTATGAGGTAAACTATATCAAACAGCCCTTTGTTCTTATGTTGTTTTCGTTGAATAATTTACTATTAGTATAAAAATAAATGACTGTAACTGATAAGAAACTATCTGGAAAAATCTATATATGTTATGTATTATGGACGTTGTAATTACAATTATTTCAGGTATGGCCAGGGAAAATAACTGGAAAGAAATATATTAAAATATTAATAGTGATTTTATTAATGCAGTGAGTTTGTGGGTAATTTTTTTCTCTCTTTTTAAAATTTTGTCTACTAGTATAGTTACCATATTATATAGTAAAATTAAAAAGTGGTATTATTAAAATTAAATAAAACTGGATGGTTATAATTTTGTGTAAGTATATTACATTTTTTGGCTATTATACTTCCAAGAACCTTGGGTTGAGAAATGATGTCTTTCATATTTAGTGATTAATATCACAAATTTGTTTAATTAGAATTTCAAAATTTCTGTGAATTTAGAGAACTTATAGTTAGGAAAATATCTTCTCACTTTTGTTAAGCTATTTGTGTCCCCTTTTTATTGTTTCACTATAACATGAATTAATGATATACCTTTGAAGGCCAACAGAGAAGCACTGAAAAAGTGATGGTAGCATTTTTTTTTAAGATTTATTTATGCATACAAGAACTAGGGTACAGGCCAGATGTGCGGGAGGATGAAAGGATTCACCAGAGACAGAGCAGGGAACAGAACAGGCAGACTGACGAAATACACTGCTGGGGGAGCAGCGGGCGAGACAGGAGAGGTCTGCTGGCCATGTGGGTTGCACTGAGGCCGAGGGATCGAACCGGCACTTCAGAGGCTGCAGACAGCTTCACAGCACTGCGCTCAACTGCCTGTGCCACCTGGTAGCATTTTCCATCCAACATTAATATATTCTATTTTTTCCCCAAGAAATCTTAGTTATTTATAAGACACTTAACAGCTCTAGTGTTTAGGTATGTTAAATCTCTGGAAGGGAAGTCTCAACCCAGTTTATTTTATTTTATTTTTTTTAATAAATCTTTTTTTTTTATAGGCATGTTTTTATTTATTTATTTATTTGTTTGTTTTGTTTGTTTGTTTATACATGCACTGGGTACAGTCAGAAGCGCGGGAGGGTGAGAGAATTCACCAGAGCCAGAGCGGGGAGCAGAGCAGGCAGAAGGACCGAAGTACACTGCTGAGGGGAGCAGCGGGCGGCAGGAGAGGTCTGCGCGCCATGTGGGACCCTCCTCCGGTGGCCGAGGAGCAGCCGGGGATCGAACCGGTGCCACAGAGGCCGCGGGCAGCTTCGCAACCCAGCGCTCAACCGCTGCGCCACCGGGGAGGCCCTCAACCCAGTTTAATCTGTGAGATGTATCTAACTGATATTTATAGTCACATGAAATATAGAAATCTATGAAAAAGTACCCATAGAGTAATAACCACCCAACATCATGGATTTACTCCTTATCTGGAACAGGTTGAGGATAAAAGAAAACACGTCAGTGTAGGTAGTAACTTGTTTGTTTTACCTTTGCTTCTGCAGATGACATGCCCATGCTAGTTCTTTAAATACTTCAGTTATAATTACTATAACATTTGATTTTGGGGAATTTTATTTATTTATTTAAGATTTGTTTATTTATGCATACAAGAGCTGGGGTGCAGGCCAGAGATGCAGGAGGATGAGAGGATTCACCAGAGACAGAGTGGAGAGCAGAACAGCAGACTGGCTTAAATACACTGCTGAGGGGAGCAGCAGGCGAGACAGGAGACGTCTGCTGCGCCATGTGGGTTTCTCCTTGGCCAGCGGGGGGATGGAACTTGTGCTGCAGAGGCTGCGATTGCTTCATAGTGTGGTGCTTAACCCCTTGCGCCACAAGGGAGGCCCTTGGGGAATTTCAAAAAACATTTTGGAAAGGTGACATGATAAAGAGTTTTAAATTCTGATATCCATTAAGGGCAGTAAGTCATTCAAACCCTGTAAGCCGTATTTATAGCCTACCATTGAGTGATTAATTCTGGCAGCAGTATACTTTAGTCTTCAAAAACAGAGGCGCACCCCTCCAAATGACTAAAATTATCACTGCTGGCAGTATCAAGTATTGACAAGGATTTAGAGCAATTGGAATTTTATACACTGCTGACCAGAATGTAAGTTGGTACAACTGCTTGGCAATATCTAATATTGAAAATATGTAAAATCCACATGTGGGCAAACTAATCTGATGATAGAATTCACTATGATGGGGCCTCCCTGGTGGCGCAGCTGGTTGTGGAGCGTTGTGGAGCTATCCTATTCCCGGCCGGCCAGGGAGCTACCCACATGGCGTGGCAGACCTCTCCTGCCTCGTCACTGCTCCCCTCAGCAGTGTATTTCAGTCAGTCTGCCTGTTCTGGTCCCCACTCTGTCTCTGGTGAATTCTCTCATCCTCCTGTGGCTCTGGCCTGTACCCCAGTGCTTGTATAAATAAATAAATCTTTAAAAAAAATGTTTGAAAAAAAGAATTCACTATGATGGTAATTTGATTGGAGGTAGTGACTAGGAGAAGGCATAGTGCAGGCTCTGATTAACTGCTAATGTTCTAATTCTTTTTTTTTTATAGAGGCATGTTTTAATTTTATTTATTTATTTGTTTGTTTGTTTGTTTGTTTGTTTATACATGCATTGGGTACAGTCAGAAGCGCGGGAGGGTGAGAGAATTCACCAGAGCCAGAGAGGGGAGCAGAGCAGGCAGAAGGACCGAAGTACACTGCTGAGGGGAGCAGCGGGCGGCAGGAGAGGTCTGCGCGCCATGTGGGACCCTCCTCCAGTGGCCGGGGAGCAGCCGGGGATCGAACCGGCGCCGCAGAGGCCGCGGGCAGCTTCGCAACCCAGCGCTCAACCGCTGCGCCACTGGGGAGGCCCCTAATGTTCTAATTCTTTTTTTTTTTTTTAAAGAGGCATGTGTTTTTTTATTTATTTATTCGTTTGTTTTGTTTATACATGCACTGGGTACAGTCAGAAGTGCAGGAGGGTGAGAGAATTCACCAGAGCCAGAGCAGGGAGCAGAGCAGGCAGAAGGACCGAAGTACACTGCTGAGGGGAGCAGCGGGCGGCAGGAGAGGTCTGCGCGCCATGTGGGACCCTCATCCGGTGGCCGGGGAGCAGCTGGGGATCGATCGAACCGGCACCTCAGAGGCTGAGGGCAGCTTCCCAACCCAGCGCTCAACCGCTGCGCCACCGGGGAGGCCCTAATGTTCTAATTCTTGATAGGGATAGTGGTTACCCAAGTATGTTCACTTCTAAAAATTGAGCTACACACTTTTCTATCCTAATGTATATGCATTTTTCTGTACTTTAGTTTTACTTCAATAAAAATTTTGTTTAGAAACAAAAAAACAAAGGATATTCTGAAGTACAAAAAAAGAAAGCTGTCTAGAATATATTGGAATTAGACATTTTTCCTGGAGAAAACAAAAATCACTTGACAAGATATGTTCCCTGGCCATATTTTTATCCAGTCAGGTTCCAATTTGAAATCTGAAACTCTTCTTCCAAACACTTCAGTGCTTTAAATTTAAAACCGTGTGTTCTACATTAACACTGAATCTACTTGGGATATATTGTTAGCTTAAGAGGATTAAAATCTAAAATAACTTCTTTTCCATATCTTATTTTTTCTCAATAACCTACCTTTTATAAACAAAGAGACAGAAGTGTTTCTATTGTTTCACACTTTATTTCACAAATAAGTTTTTCTTCTTTAAATCTCTTTAAATGTTTGAACAAAAGAGGTTTGAAAATCTATCTAGCACTGTGCCCATTAGGAGCAATGTCACAGATCTCAGAACACTGAAATTACATAATTGCATTGGTTTTATTTAATGGTTATATTTGGTCTTTAAAGTTTTCTTTTATCTCATCTTTAATGTGTATATGCCAGAAAGTTAGATGATGATAACACGTAGCTGTTTTAGTTCCTCATTATTTAGTGTAGCTTACAAAGGGAATGGAATCTTTTTATAAAACCCAACTGACTTTGGAGTTAAAAAAAGATGACATTGCTATTTAAAATTCTAGAAGGAATCTTTTTAGCAGGTAGAGTGATTTTTCTTTTAGCTAGTGACAAACTTTAGGATTCTGAATTTCATGTCTTTCTTAGTTGTTAAGGATACTTGCTCAAGAAATTTGTAAATGGGGGCCTTCCTGGTCACACAGGGGGTTAAGACGCGACCTATAAAGCTGTCCATAGCCACTGCAGCATGAGTTCAGTCTCCCGCCAGGGAGCTGACCCACATGGTACAGCAGAACTCTCCTGTCTCACCTGCTGCTCCCCTCAGTAGTGCATTTCAATAGATCTGCCTGTTCTGCTCCTTACTCTATCTTTGGTGAATCCTCTCAACGCCCCCTCCCTATCTCACCCCCACATCTCTGACCTACAGCCCGGTTCTTGTATGCATAAATAAATAAATCTTTTTAAAAAATCTATGGCATAGATTTTTCATTGTAAATACCACATTTTCATGTCAGGAAGCCCTTATTGGGGACTATTTAAGTCGTGGCCACTGATAGAGAAATGATAACTGATATGAAATTATAATATTTAACATATTCTTTTCAGTATTCAGCCTCCTTAATTAGAGATTAATTAGAGATTTAGTTAGAAGGAAATGTGATAGGATGTGATTATTAATTATGTAAGAAGGATGAAGGAGATGAAGTAATCTGGAATGATATCCATGTTTCTGGCTTATATGACTGGGTACATAATTTGTGTGCACAATTTGTGCCATTAAGTGAGATCATGAGTTACTAACACAGTGATCAGTATGTGAGTAAGCCATCAACTATGCCAAGTACAGGAGAAACAAGGACTGAGTCATATTCATTACATTTGGTAATATGAGGGCTATTGTAACTTTTGTAAGAACAATTATAAATGGTAGAAGATTGAGGAAGAAAGTGAGTGTATAAAAGGAGCAAGACTTATGTTTAATTTAGAGAAAGTAAAGGGGGTAGTCACTGGGGAGGGCCACAGGTAGAAACAGTGATTTTATATTTTTTTCTATGGTTGTTAAAAAAATAGAGCATGCTAAATACTTCAGGTAAACAGGGAAAGAAATTATAAAGTGCAAGAAGAAAGTGTATATTTGGGGCCTCTCTGGTGGCTCAAGGGGTTGAGTCTCAGCACTATGAAGATATCCACAACCACTGTAGCACTAGTTCTATCCCCAGCCAAGTAGGTGACCCATGTGGCTCAGCAGACCTCTCCTGTCTCGCCTGCTGCTTCCCTCAGCAGTGTATTTCAGTGCATCTGCCTGTTCTGCTCCCCACTTTGTCTCTGGTGAATTCTCTTACCTCCTTTACCTCCAGCCTGCACCCCAGCTCTTGTATGCATAAATAAATAAATCTTAAAAAAAAAAAGAAAGGGTATATTTGATAGTCTAAGGTCTAGAAAGAACAAAATCATGAAGAGTTGAGATATATATATCTATATATATCTATATATATATATAGATATATATAGATATATATATAATGGTTTCTGGTCTTACATCCAAGTTTTTTATTCATTTTTAATTAATTTTTGTATATTAAATAGTATTCTAGTTTCATTCTTTTGCATGTGGTCATCTAATTTTCCCATCACCAGTTAGAGAAGAGACTTTCCTTTTTTCATTGTATGTTCTTGACTCCTTTGTCATAAATTAACTGATCATATAAGGAGTTTATATCTGGACACTCAATTCTATTCCATTCATCTTAGTGTCCATTTTTAGTCCAAATCCATACCATTTTGATTATTATTGCTTTGTAGTATAATTTGAAGTTTAGAAAACTAGTGCCTTTGTTCTTCCTTTTTCTCTGAATTACTTTGGCTAGTCAGGGTATTTGTGGTTCCATATAAACTTTAGCAATGTTTGCTCTGTTTCCTTGGAGAAAACTATTGAAATTTTGATAGAGATTGTATTAAATCTGTATATTTCTTTGGGTAAGATGACCACTTTAATGATAAGAAAATAGTAATGACTGATTTAGAAAAAATACTCTATAGAGATTAATTATTGACTATTTCACTATCACTTGTATGTCTGAATTCTTTGGAGTAAAAACCTGCATTCACAATGATAATGCAAAATCAAATGTTTGCTTGAAATTACAGAAGACCTTGAATTTTCTGATAATTGTGTTGATACTAGAGTTAATACTTATCAAGGTGGCATGTAGTAAGCAATGACACAGCATTAAAATGAGTTTCTGATACAGTATTGTAAACCAGTGTTACCAGAATAACAACAAAAATGTGTTGCTGTTTCAGTTATGGCAATTAAAGTAAGTTTGGTTTATTTAGAAATGTTACATAATGTACACTTAATGGTCTTTGGAAAATGACCTTTGAATTTTCTACAGAAGTGTTATTTAAGAGCAAGTCTAGACCTTTAAATTATAATATAATCTTCCCCCTTAACAAATATAAGTCTATATTGCTGAGTTTTTATTTCACATGACTGGCATGTACAACTCCTTTTTGCTTTTTAGCCAGGACTAAAAGAAGTGGTAGAATCCTGCCGAGGAAAAAACTTATTTTTTTCTACCAATATTGATGATGCCATTAAAGAAGCTGACCTTGTGTTTATTTCTGTAAGTACTTTCCTTTGTTGTGTGAATGTTAATATATTCTTATCTATATGGAAGTTTCATTATATTTTAATAGTAAACCTATTGATATTAAACTATAGCATTGCTTAGCAGAGAGTTGTCCAGTTGAATTTTGGTTGTCAATAAACTTTGTCTAACACGTTACCAAATCCTAGAATCATCTGGTAAAATATGTCATTTCAGGTCATTGAACAAATACATTCAGAGAAAGTTCTAGTCTGAGATCTAGAATTAGGAAGTGCTGGTAATGTGGGCACAAGTGGTTATAGTATATCTTTGTTTCATTATTTATTGTTTCCACTAGTTGATAGAGGTAAAGAGAATAAGTTTGTAAATTTATAGGCATCTCCTATATAGGAATTATGAATTGTATATGAATTCCATATATGACTTCATATTCCAAGTCATTTCAAGTTAGTTGTTGGATCTTCTCATAAGTTGGTTAGGTTATCAGGCTTGACCACAGACACCATTAGCTTATAATATGACTGAACTGTTGCACCTGTGTAATGAAAATATGGAACCAGCATTTGGGACTAAACTCTGGTAATCCCATATTTGAACCAACATAACTTATTTCTTGCTTTCCCCATCACCATCTATTATAATAGGGACCTCCCTAGTGGTGCAGGAGTTATGGTGGCGCAGGGGTTAAAGTCTCAGTGCTATGAAGCTATCTCCAGTGGCATGAGTTCAATCCCCAGCCAGGGAGCTGACCCACCTGGCGCAGCAGACCTCTCCTGTCTTGCCCGCTGCTCCCCTCAGCAGTGTATTTCAGTAGATCCACCTATTCTGCTCCCCACTCTCTCTGGTAAATCCTTTTATCCCCGCTCCCCCACACCTCTGGCCTACACCCCAGTTCTTGCATGCATAAATAAATAAAATAAATCTTAAAAAAAATTTCTTTTTTTAAAAAAGATTTATTTATTTATGCATACAAGAGCTGGGGTATAGGCCAGAGGTATGGGGGGGTGAGAGGATTCACCAGAGACAGAGTGGGGAACAGAACAGGCAAACTAACTGAAACACACTGCTGAGGGGAGCAGTGAGCAAGGCAGGAGAGGTCTGCTGTACCATGTGGGTTGCTCCCTGGCTGGCCGGGGATCGAACTCGCGCTGCAGAGGCTGCAGACTGCCCCACAGCGCTGTGCCCAACCCCCTGTGCCACCAGGGAGGCCCAAAAATAAATATTTTGTGCGACAATGTAGTGTTGCCAGTTGGTGACTGAGCTAGGTGGCTTATATGACTCAAGACCTTTAGGGCCTTATGGAATAAAGAGAAGGTCTCATGAGGTAAAGAAAAGAAGCACAGAGTAAATAGAGAGTAGATGCTGTTGAATTGAATATACATGTTATTAAGGATTGCAGATTGTTCAATAAGGGGTTGTTTTTTGACTGGTGAGACAAAAGCATTACTGTGAGGATATGTGAATCCCAGGAAAAAGTGGCAATGCAGCCAGTGGTAAAACCATGTTATGAATTCAGTCTCTCTTTTAGGCCTCCTTAATTACTTCAGAGAAAGTGATGCAGCATCTATGACTCACCTACACATTCCCTACTTAAGTTTGCAGAGAGTTAGGGTAGAGACATCGAAAATGAAAAAAATATTTTGGAGTATACTTGGAGAAAATCAACAAGTTATCTTGTTGAATAACTTGTACCTGTAATGGGAATAGGGAAATTTTCTGTCAAAATAATGTTTTAAAAAGATCTATTTTCAAACAGTAGAGTCCACCTCAGGGTGTGCTGGCACAAAGAGCTTGTTTTCCACTTGCCTCTCTGCTCATCCAACCTGAGCTGCCCTGAATCTTTCCAAGCTACTACTTTGTGTGCATGTTTGAGCAACTTATTATTATATATAACAGGATCTGCCATCTAGTTCCCATCATTCTCTGGATAAGATTTTTGTTTGTTTGTTTGTAGTATACTTTTCATTATGGAAAATATCAAACTTATAGAAAACATGCTGACAGTAGTAATATAATGAACCCCTGTTTACCCAGGAGAAGCCATGTTGTCATCACCATAACCAGCATGTCATACCTTACCCATTCTGTACTCCATTGCACCCTGACTTCCACATTTAAGTCTTTTCCTAATTTGTTCCATGCATATAAACAAGTTTTCTCTCACTTGTCTTACCTCAAGTCAGTTTCAAGTTTTGGTTTATTTTGACTTGATTCCTTTAGTTAGTATCCCATTAGGTTATAAGCTTGTCTAGAGAAGAGAATTGATGCATTTTACCACTGGTTCAAAACCAATCCCTGTATAGAATTGGAAACTTTCTTAGAACACTTTCATTTTTATCAGATCATCACAAAACTCATTTGTTAGGCTTTAGAGAGACTGATAGCCTCACTTTCCAATTAGATCATTGAGACAAAAGCAACCACACTTTCCCAAGGTTACCTGATACAGTTAAGCCAAAACTAAATGCTTAGGTTCTGAACTCATGGTTTATTTTTCTTTCTGCTTGATAGCCTTTGTCTACATTGTAGTCTGTATCTTAAAGATGCTAGATAATTTTTAGCTTTTATGAGCCAAGAAAGCATTTTTAAGTGATGCTGCAAATATTTTTTAAAACTAACTATAGGGGGCCTCCCCGGTGGCGCAGCGGTTGAGCGCTGGGTTGCGAAGCTGCCCGCGGCCTCTGCGGCGCCGGTTCGATCCCCGGCTGCTCCCCGGCCACTGGAGGAGGGTCCCACATGGCGTGCAGACTTCTCCTGCCGCCCGCTGCTCCCCTCAGCAGTGTACTTCGGTCCTTCTGCCTGCTCTGCTCCCCGCTCTGGCTCTGGTGAATTCTCTCACCCTCCCGCGCTTCTGACTGTACCCAGTGCATGTATAAACAAAACAAACAAACCAGCAAACAAATAAATAAAGCATGCCTCTATTAAAAAAAAAAAAAAAAAAAAAACAAAAAACTAACTATAGGTTTGTAAATAAGAGTAGAAAAGGAGTGTAAGTTTAGCTTTAAAGGCCAACATAATAAAAACCTATATCTCATTTCAGACTATGAACTCCTTTAGGAAAAAACTGTTTCATTCATCTTTATATCTCTAGGTCTTAGCGTGGAACGTACCTGTCCTAGTATCTAACATACATATGGCAGCTTCTCAACAAAAATGTATTGAATGCTTTCTGCAGATGCTTCAAGCTGTTGCTTCTGATGATTATATAATGTATTATTTCTGTGGAACTAATAGGGTTAAATCAGGGCTACTGATGATTGCTAGCTTCCCACTTGACCAGTTCGTTGATAGTCCAGGGGATATCTTGAAATCACTCTATATCTTACACACTGTTATTAATCTCATATCCTTTCATCAGGTGAACACTCCAACAAAAACCTATGGAATGGGCAAAGGCCGTGCAGCAGATCTGAAGTATATTGAAGCTTGTGCTAGACGCATTGTGCAAAATTCCCATGGGTACAAAATTGTAACCGAGAAAAGCACAGTTCCAGTGCGGGCAGCAGAAAGTATTCGTCGAATATTTGATGCAAATACAAAACCCAATTTGAATTTACAGGTATTAAAAAAAAAGGAGCGTAAGACTGGTTCTTTTTATGTATTGATAAATATTGATGCTTTAAAGTGGCCCACCATTCATTCTAGCTTTAAGCTTTCCTTGACCTTGGGATTCCAGGTGCTGTCCAACCCTGAGTTCTTAGCAGAAGGAACAGCCATCAAGGACTTAAAGAATCCCGACAGAGTACTGATTGGAGGAGATGAAACCCCTGAGGGTCAGAAGGCTGTGCAGGCACTGTGTGCTGTATATGAGCACTGGGTTCCCAGAGACAAGATTCTCACCACTAACACTTGGTCTTCAGAACTTTCCAAACTGGTTGGTATCTAGCATCAGCTTTCCATTAAATTTATTTATTTGTTTATTTTAAAGATTTATTTATTTTTATACAAGAGCTGGGGTACAGACCAGAGGCACGGGAGGGTGAGAGGATTCACCAAAGACAGAGTGGGAAGCAGAACAGGCAGACGACCGAGATACACTGCTGAGGGGAGCAGCGGGCAAGACAGGAGAGGTCTGCTGCGCCATGTGGGATACTCGCTGGCCGGCCAGGATCGAACCCACAGTGCAGACGCTGCGGACAGCTTCCCTGCGCCACCAGGGAGGCCCTTCCCATTAAATTTATTTTTTATTTTTTTTTTTAAATGTTTTTTTTTTTTTAATTTTTTTTTTTTTTTTTAAAGATTTATTTATTTTTATTTATTTATTTATACAATCACTGGGTACAGTCAGAAGTGCAAGAGGGTGAGAGAATTCACCAGAGTCAGAGCAGGGAGCAGAACAGGCAGAAGGACCGAAGTACACTGCTGAGGGGAGCAGCGGGCGGCAGGAGAGGTCTGCGCGCCATGTGGGACCCTCCTTCGGTGGCCGGGGAGCAGCCGGGGATCGAACTGGTGCCACAGAGGTCGTGGGCGGTTTCGCAACCCAGCGCTCAACCGCTGCGCCACCGGGGAGGCCCCCTTCCCATTAAATTTAAAGCCAAAGGTTTATTTCTCTTAAACTTGACAAGCTTTCTTACTATTAATAAAAGCTAGACTTTTGGAGATAATATTTTTGTATATTGTAAAATAATTTTTATAAGGAGGATCAAATATCAGGGTGTAGGATATTCTGGAGAAGTCTAAAATTTTAATGAAATGAAGGGTACATTAAAATAGTAATTTTTAAATTACTCTTTTCCTTCTCTTTTTATCCTTCATACTCATCTTTCTTCTTTAATTTAAAATAGTTCTCTTAGCAGCCCATCCATTGCCTCCTCAATTAAGTCCATCAGCAGAGCTCTTCTGCCTGCCTGTGCCTATGCTGTGTTTCTCCTCACCAACCTTCTCCCTTCACAAAGCAGCAGAGGCATCTCTCCTCCCAGGGCTGCCCCCTGTGCCTGTGAAGGCCTCTCTTTTAACAATCCCATCCCTTTCAGGGGCAACTCTTGTGTCCTGCTTGTGTCTGTGCAAGCATCCTTGACTTCCTTCTCTTTTCATAATAAACCTGCTCTCTTTTATTTTTTTAAAAAGATTTATTTATTTATGCATACAAGTACCAGGGTACAGGCCAGAGGCGTGGGGGAGTGGGAGGATCCACCAGAGACAGAATGGGGAACAGAACAGGCAGATTGACTGAAATACACTGCTGAGGGGAGCAGTGGGTGAGTCAGGAAGGTCTGTTGTGCCATGAGTGTTGCTCCCTGGCCGGGAATCGAACTCGTGCTGCAGTGGCTGCCACATGCTTCATAGGTTGCATCTTAACCCCTTGAGCCACCAGGGAGTCCCTAAACCTGCTCTTTTTTTTTTTTTAAAGATTTATTTATTTGTACATACAAGAACTGGGGTACAGGCCAGAGGTGCAGTAATGAGAGAATTCACCAGAGACAGAACAGGGAACAGAATAGGCAGATCTACTGAAATACACTGCTGAGGGGAGCAGCAGGCGAGTCAGGAGAGGTCTGTTGCGCCATGTGGGTAGCTCCCTGGTTGGGGATCGTACTCGTGCTGCAGAGGCTGCAGATAGCTTCATAGTGCTGTGCTTAACCCCTTGCGCCACCAGGGAGGCCCTAAACCTGCTCTTTTAATATTAAAAAAAAATTGAGTCCATCACTAACTTTTATATCTCCTTTAGTAATTTGCATTAGTTCAGTGAATTATTATCTAGATGTGTAAAATTAGTATTTTAGCTCATCGTACTTTTCCTTTTTTTCCCCCCAGGCTGCAAATGCTTTCCTTGCTCAGAGAATCAGCAGCATTAACTCTATAAGTGCCCTCTGTGAGGCAACAGGAGCTGATGTAGAAGAGGTGGCAACAGCCATTGGAATGGACCAGAGAATTGGAAATAAGTTTCTGAAAGCCAGTGTTGGTAAATGGAAATTTTTATGTACATAAAATTGGTTTATTTAGTAGATTTCTAACCTTGTTTAATTTCATGCTTCAAAATATGTATACAAGTAGCCTTCATCCAAGTAGCCTTCATATCAGGGATTTTCTAAGTGAAATTCCTGCTGATATAGTTGCTTATATGGTTTAATAATTACTGACGGAGTAGTCAGATAAACAATTCAGTGTTTTAGGAAGAATAAATTTGTATTTAGTGAGAGCATTTAGGAAGACTACATTTGGAGGCCACATAGGAAATATTTGTGTCACACCTTCTTGAGGTAAATAAGGAAAAAGTCCATATTGTTTGCTTTTCCCAATGTTTGTTATAGGGTGAAACAAAGTTGATCCTTATCATTTGTGGATTATGTATTTGTGAATTAGTCTACCCACTTAAATTTAAAAGTTTTTTAAAAAAAAATTTATGTATATAAGAACTGGGGTGTAGGCCAGAGGTGTGGGGGTTGAGAGGATTCACCAGAGACAGAGTGGGGAGCAGAACAGGCAAATCTACTGAAATAAACTGCTGAGGGGAGCAGTGGGCAAGACAGGAGAGGTCTGCTGCACCATATGGGTAGCTCCCTGGCCAGGGATCGAACTTGTGCTGCGTGGCTGCAGATAGCTTCATAGTGCTGAGACTTAATCCCTTGTGCCACCAGGAAAGCCCCCCACTAAAATTTATTTGTATCCCACAACCAATCATCATGGTGCTTTCATGGTTTTTGGCAGACATAAATTGCAAAAACTTTGAGTGACTCTGCAGTTACATTCCCAGCTGAAGTTGAATAAGGTGATGCTCTTGCTTTTCTGTTTCATCCTATAAACAAGTGGTCATTTTGTGTTCTGGTTAATGCCACATGTATCACTTTTTTGTGCTTTTTGTTGATGATTAAAATGGCTCTCACACAGACTGTTGAGGTGCTGCTGCCTAGTGTTGTGAAATGCCAGAGGCTCTGCTGTACCTTACAGAGAAAATATACATTAGATAAGCTTCATTCAGGCATGAATTATAGTACTTTGGGCTATGAGTTCAATGGTAATGATGCAACAAATAAACATTAATACCCATCAAACAAGATTAGGTATCGATTGGTTGACAAAAATGTGACCAGAAGCTCACTGGAACTTGATCCTGTGTTTTGCCAAGCAACAATATTTCAGTATTTGCTAATTCATAGTTCATGGTAATTTTGTAGAATGTAACTATCAAGAATAAGGAGAATTGACTGTATTTTTACATATAAGTTAGTAAGGCTAGTGTAAAAGAGTCTTGTATATATATATTGGACCATAGATGTCCCTATCTATATTTCTGGGACCTTTTGCCATTTCACATTACTTATTTCTCTGGCCTTTTCTATTTTTTTCTTTTTTATTCTACCTGCTCTTTAATAAAATTAGCTACTATTTTTTAGCACCTCCCAAAAAAATTAGCTGGTATTTTATTGAAGTCATATTATATACCAATTTCTCACCCAGCAATTCTATATCTCAGTAGTTTGTAATTTTTATAACCTGCTATGAATGTGCTAATATTTCCTTTATAGAGAAGATCAAGGATCTGGGAAATTTTTGCAACTTAATCAAAGCCTACAATTGATAAAAGGCTAGGTATTTCTGACCCTGACCTGTGCCCACCCTCAGCATGTACTGCACTAGATCAAGAATAAGAAAACTGCAGCCCTCAGGCCAAACCTGACCCACAGCTTGCTTTATATAAAGTTTTATGGGAACAGGGCCTCCCCGGTGGCGCAGCGGTTGAGCTCTGGGTTGCGAAGCTGCCCGCGGCCTCTGCGGCGCCGGTTCGATCCCCGGCTGCTCCCCGGCCACCGGCGGAGGGATCCCATATGGCGCGCAGACCTCTCCTGCCGCCCGCTGCTCCCCTCAGCAGTGTACTTCGGTCCTTCTGCCTGCTCTGCTCCCCGCTCTGGCTCTGGTGAATTCTCTCACCCTCCCGCGCTTCTGACTGTACCCAGTGCATGTATAAACAAAACAAACAAACAAACAAAATAAATAAATAAAACATGCCTCTATAAAAAAAAAAAAAAAGATTTAAAAAAAATATTAAAAAAAATAAAAATAAAGTTTTATGGGAACATAGATATGCTGAGTAGGTTGTCTATGTCTGCTTTTGAGCTACAAAGTCAGAGTTGAATAGTTGTGCCAGACTGTGGCTGACAAAGTTTAAAATATTTAAAATATCTGGTCCATAAACATTTGACAGCCTTGTGCTAGAATAAGAGAGATGGGTCAGTGATACTAGATGAATGAGGAAAAAATAGAAAATATATCCCTAATAAAGCTTTAGCTAGAAAATTATTTGAAAATTGTGTATAGGGTTGATTAGTTGCTTGCAAATTTCACACAATGTGTAACCCCACCAATTTTCCAACTTTCAAATGTTATTCAGAAATTGTAGCATGATTTACTATGATAGATTTGTCACATGATTCAGTTATATGGTTCTTAAATGAAAATATTGCCATGTCATTTTTTTCTTCAGGTTTTGGTGGGAGCTGCTTTCAAAAAGATGTTCTGAACTTGGTCTATCTCTGTGAGGCTCTGAATTTGCCTGAAGTAGCTCGTTATTGGCAGCAGGTATCTTTATAGTCATCAACTTTTAATTAATCTTTAATTAAAACCCGTCATCCTTTGGGAAGTATTTGGTAAGATTTATTTATTCAGTATCTCAACTATTACTATATTTAGTTTATTTATTTTAGGTTTACTTACTGGGTTTTTTGTTTTTGTTTTTGTCTTTACTAATCAACTATGATGGAAGTTTCTACTAAACCAGAGTTTCTTCTAATTTTATAACTAAATTTAAGCCCAGAGTAAAGCAAACTTTTATTCTTAATTGTAGTTCTTCTCTATCTTGAAAGTCATGAAATCAAAGTTAAGGAAGAACTTGTAATGCCTTCAAGTAGCTTGCCCATAATTTTGTTTTGTACCATTGAAATCCACAGAGCTAAAATTAGAGACCCTTCCCAAGTTGGGAATAGTGTCAGGTTTATTGCATCCTTATGCTGTGCCAGGAACTCTTTTAAATACTTTCATATGTACAATCTCATGTTATCCTCATCACTAATTTTACCTATATCATCTAATACTATCTCCCATTGACAGATGAGAAAACTGTGCTAGGATACATACCTTCCCCAAATATTTTTTCCCAGTTTGTAATTTTTCAGACTTCGGCTGCTGGTGGGAATATAAGTAAATATACTTTTTTTTTTAAAGGGAAATACATACTTTTAAGTTCATTTCACTCAGTCTAGCCTGATGACTTGATCTTGCTGTCCATTGGGGGGACTGCAGGTAAAGCTTTGCTTTTCCAAAACATTTGACCCATTCCCCAAGCTCTCTGGCTTGGTGATGTCCCCCAGAAGCTTAGACTGTTAACAAAAAAATTCTTTTATATTCATCTGATCATCAATCTGAAATCTTGTTTATAAACTCATAGAAGAGTCACAGATTAGCTGATCAGAGACTTTTACTCTCATAACATTCAGTTAATTCATGTGCCAAATGTCCATGGTATCATGGTCCATCCAGAGGCAGGTGTAACTGTCCATTGTTGACTATCCAATTTCCACTCACACTGAAGGGATGGACCTAAGCCTACAAGGGGGAGTACTTTGGGATTTGATTGCTTATAACCTCGCTTCCAACACTCTTGAGACATTAGCTAAGGAGAAGACTGTCTTCAATATACCTTGCTTAGACTGGCCTTATAGCCAGACCCTCAAATGCTTTTACAGTTGAAGCTTAGCTTTGCTCCCTATCTTTACATTCATCTCAGCCTGATGTGTGGAAAATTGAAATGAAATAAAATGAAATGAAAATGAAAATGACTGGGATGGCTTTAAGGAAGGGTAACTTTTTAAAAATTTTTACATCTGTAATACTGAAGAGGTTGGTCAATCTTTTTGTCTCCTTATTCATAAGGCTTTTATCCATACAGTAGTACTCACCACAAAACTCTGAGCAATGTCTGGCACACACTGCCCCTCACTCACTGATTGTTGCACTCTTATGATTTCAGGTCATAGATATGAATGACTACCAGAGACGGAGGTTTGCTTCCCGGATTATAGACAGTCTGTTTAATACAGTGACGGATAAGAAGATAGCTATTTTGGGGTTTGCATTCAAAAAGGACACTGGTGATACAAGGTATCTGTTCTTTAAAGTATTTTAATCCCTTTGAGAGTGTTAACTCCTCATTTTATTTGGATTTTTGGTGGATGTGTGTGAAATACATGTGTGTATATAGCATAAAGAAGAAAAATAGGGCCTCCCCTGGTGGCACAGCAGTTGAGCGCTGGGCTGCGAAGCTGCCCACAGCCTCTGCAGTGCCAGTTCGATCCCCTGCCGCCAGCGAGGGTCCCACGTGGCTTGCAGACCTCTCCTGCCACGCCTGCTGCTCCTCTCAGCAGTGTATTTCTGCCTGTTCTGTTCCCCGCTCTATTTCTGGTGAATCCTCACACCCTCCCGTGCTTCTGACTATACCCAGTGCTTGTATAAATCAATCAATCAATCAATCAATCTTAAAAAAAAAATAAAGAATAAAAATAACTTCTATTTTCTCACAATAGAATCTTATCTGTATATCAAACCTTCTAGGTATTAGAATATATGTCATTTAAAAGCTTAGTAATACTGATTTTTTTTCCTTTAGAGAATCTTCTAGTATATATATTAGCAAATATTTGATGGATGAAGGTGCACACCTCCATATATATGATCCAAAAGTACCAAGGGAACAAATAGTCGTGGATCTTTCTCATCCAGGAGTTTCAGAGGATAACCAAGGTAAGGCTTTGAGTTTCATGCATAAGTGCAGGCCCCCAAACTTGCTCCCCAGAAACCTTTAATTACTCAGTTTTTATCATTCATATCATTGGTTAGGCACTCTTATCAACTTCATTTCTCTAAAATGAAAAAATTCTGAGGCATTGTTTAATCATCTTTGATTAGAAATGCTCAGCTTAAAGTTAGTCTAATGGTTTTCCAACATAGCCTAACAAGTCCCAAGGATATAAAGAAGATCTTTCTGGAGCAAAGATAGGGGTACTACAGACCCCATGCTATTAACCTTACTCACACTTCAGCCAAACCATTCCACTCTGTCAGACCTCAACACTTCCTGCAATCCTAGTGTTAAAATGTGTAATTTCAAATAATTCCTTTCCTATCACCAATTTTCCCTTACTGTTGTGCTTACAGTGTCCCGACTTGTCACCATTTCCAAGGATCCATATGAAGCATGTGATGGTGCCCATGCAGTTGTTATTTGCACCGAGTGGGACATGTTTAAGGTGAGGTGACAGAAATGGTATTAAGGGAAATTGTAATGGTGTTCTAATATCAATTGGGACTGAGTATGTATTCATGTATGTGTTCTAATTGTTCCTTTGCTTCTGTCTTTACAGGAACTGGATTATGAGCGGATTCATAAAAAAATGCTGAAGCCCGCCTTTATCTTTGACGGACGACGTGTCCTGGATGGGCTCCATCATGAACTTCAGACCATTGGCTTCCAGGTAATCACAGCCTGGACTGGTTTTGTTTGTTGGGTCATTTGTTTTTTAGTGGCTTTGAGCTTTAGAACTTTAATATTTTCTCAGTTAGCATTGACATAACTCTGGAGAAACATGGCCATGGGTCAGGTCCCTGGGAAGTCTCTGGGATTTTTGTAACTACTGGTACCTTAAATTTGCCACTTAGAGTTCATAAAGCATTGGTCACCCTTACGAAATATACAGGAAGTCATCAGTTGCCTATCATATAGGGATAAAATGTGCCCTCCTTACCTCATATCATAAAGATCACGTAAGAAAGCATGTTTTTTTTACCCCATGAGCCAACAATACTGCTCTGCTGAACTATCTGCACCACATCAACCTCCTTGGTCACAATACAAATATTTTGAAACATTGTGCCTATAAAACATGGTAGAGTTGTGACATGTTGGTATGGGATTCTATACCTTCTGAGTGCTCAGCTCTGTCCTACTGCTGTAAGAGATGGGAATGAATAATACAGGTGCTAACAAGAAAATTACAGGTGTTTCATTGGTACTGGCAATCCTCTAATTCAAAGTTTGCCAATTAATTATGAAACATCGAGAGAGCTGAAAGAAACCTCTGCCCAGAGCAGTATATTTATGTTGCATCTCTTTCAATTCTACCAGTGGTCCCACAGCATTAATAAGAAGGAGTTACTTTTCATTTCCTCAGAGCAGAGAGCATGGGATAGGAGGTTCAGGAGAAGGTGGGGATGGACAAAGAAACATGCCAGGAGATGGCTATGAGCATCATCCCTGAGTGGAGAAGAGAGGGACAATACTTAGAACTGGCTGCGTGGGTCTGCGCTGCACCTGCCGTCTTGAAGAAGTATCTGATGTGGTTCTCTAACTTACCACCGACTTATTGAAGAGCCTTCTCATTTAGAATTCAGTGCCCATTTCTCACTCCTAGGAGATTCACTTGTAGCAAGAAGCAGATGGCATCGCTGTCTGTTAACACTTCATCAAGGTCCTTGGGGACTATCTCCTCCCCCACCCCCTTAATAACAACATGACTGTATTTTCCAGTCATGACTTAAACTCTGTGATGTTATTTTTAAAGATTATTTACAAAGCCCAGGGGGCCTCCCTGGTGGCACAAGGGGTTAAGAAGCAGCACTATAAAGCAATCTGCAGCCTCTGCAGCACAAGTTCAATCCCCAGCCAGGGAGCTAGTCACATGGTGCAGCAGACCTCTCCTGTCTTGCCCACTGCTCCCCTCAACAGTGTATTTCAGTCAGTCTGCCTGTTCGTTCCCCACTCTGTCTCTGGTGAATCCTCTCACCCCCTGCATCTCTGGCCTGTACTCCAGCTCTTGTATGCATAAATAAATAAATCTTTAAAAAAAAAAATTATTTACAAGGCCCAGACAAATTTTCTCCCATTCTTGTTTTACTCATCTAAGGAGAAGATAAGTAAAGGAATATATATTTAAAACAAGTTTGAATTCTTGTAAAATTTAACTTTCCTAGTAAGGACTAAAAAAATAGGAATGGAATCACTAAATAGAATTGATAGTCACTAACTGGGACAATTAATACAAAGACAAAGTTCTTTGTGACATTTATAACAGTTCTACAGTATATTTACCTATGCTGTAGAAAAGAAAGAAATGTAGAATTATTTAAAAACTGCCATTACAACTTCCACAATTTTTTAGGATAGGACATAAGACTAGTAAGTTAACTGGAATTTGGTCCATTAATTGCTTTCATATATGCTACTAATAAGAGTGGTAAATGCTTTTTATGCTCTACTCTGGGGGTCTCTGATGCAGGGAATGGCAGGAGCAAGTGTCTGGATGTGAGTATCAAAAGTGGATATAGAGTGACCTTAGAGACATAAGAAACACAGAAAGAACCAGAGATCTTTCAAAGCAACCCAGACAGCTTGGGAAATGTTTTCCGCTTTTAAACACAAAATATCTAATTAGATTTTCCCTCTTAGTACACTTGTGTAAGTTTTTACCCTTATGTGTTATAGTTGTTAATATTTTCTTTCTAAAATTTCTTTTCCCCCTAGATCGAAACAATTGGCAAAAAGGTGTCTTCAAAGAGAATTCCATATGCTCCTTCCGGTGAAATTCCGAAGTTTAGTCTTCAGGATCCGCCAAACAAGAAACCCAGAGTATAAACATTGCTATTTTTATTTGTAATTTTTTTTTTTTGGTAATTCAGGATAGTAAATATCTGATATGAAGTGACAAATGAACCAAGTGTTTTTAAGGAAACAAAACTATTTTTTTAATAATCCAGTTTATACTAGCTATATGGGAGTTAGCATATCTGGTAATTATGAATCTAGAGTATTTTTTACATATTTTTATAATATTGTTACCTCAGTGATTGAATGAATGATAATCATGTTAATTTTAATGGTGTTGGTTTTTGTAAAACAAAAATTAAGTTTTGAACACTTTTTACTTTACAAAATGTCCTTAGACACATTATAAAGTATAAAGGGAAAGGCAGTCTTTAGTTTTTCTGATCATTGGTTTATTTACTTGTCATTAAATATATATATTTTAAACCATGAAATTGCTATGCTAACTAGTGGGCTAAAGCTGTTAATCTTTCAGAGAGTGTTTTGGAGACTTAGAGGTTTCTGGCTTAATGAGTAAGGTTTTTCCAAGCCATTTCTTGTCTCTGGACTTAGAAGGTGGATGAGGCCTTTTGTGCCTTTTTGGTGTATATGCTCAGAAGATTTTCCCTATGCTTCCATGTTAAAAGTAACCTTACAAGTATGGTTTGGTTAATGTTCCTTTTGTTTTAATGAGCTACCTTGCTGGTTTTAGGCCCCTCAAATCATCTCTAAATATTTCTAATCAGTCTAAATATGAGCAAAAGTCATTTTTTTTAACATGAAGAGAAAATCAGCATGGGATATTTCAGTCTTTTACTTCTTACCCTCACTAGTCATTTTTTAGTCCAAGAGCCAAAAATATTTGTTACCATGACTTTGCATTTTTATTTTCATTATTCATTGCAATTTTTCCCTTTTTATTTCAGAAAAATCATTATAATAAGTATAATCTCATCTATAAATGTAAAGGTTTCATAATTACATATAGCATATTTCTAAAATAAGAATTTTTTGTCTGTATTTCCATATGCCTTTTTGTATGTCTCTTGCTGACTTGATTGTTTTCTCTTGTGTTTTATCATTATTGGAATATGATGTATGTTCATTTGCTTTTTATGCTCTGCTAAGGGTGTACAAACTGAGCTAAACAGACATAGGCCTCATCCTTTAGGAACTTTGTGGTTCAGTAAGAATACCAAGATCAATATGAGGACAGAGATATCTGTACAGATATCAAATACATAAATAAAATACTCTGCATAAACAACTGTGTGGGTGTATTTTTTGTAAGCGTACAAGTAACTATGAGTTACTGTATGAGTCATGGGTGACATTAGATAGGATAAAAACCACTCCTCACTCTTTTGAGAAAAGGGTATTATATATCATTCTTTCAAATGGTACAAGAAAGGGAGGGCGTTTACTAAAGAGATCAGGTGTTGGCCAACTACAACTCATGAGCCAAATCTGGCCAGCCACTGTGAGTTAACAATGTTTTTTACATTTTTATGGGTTTATATTTTAAATGGCTGTAAAAGTTCCCAATTTTGCTCTGTGACCTGGAAACCCTAAATTATTTGTTGTCTGGCTCTTTAAGAAAGTTTGCAGACCCAAGACTGGAATGTTTGAACATATGATGATGATGATCCCTTACTCATATGACTTTGAAGTGAGGATGAGCTTGTTCATTAGAATTTGCTTACATTTCTGCTTGAAAATATTCTCGTATTCCACTAAATAATTTTATATTCTCATAAAGGGATTGTAACTCAAAGATATCTTGCCAAAGAAGATAGATTAGGCACTGGCTTTAAATTACTGGTGGAAGCAATGGGAGTGAAAAGATGGATGCAGGAAAATTCAGACTGGTGAGGGAAAGCAAGTTGTCTTTTGTCTGGAGCTGAAGGGTGTGTAAAGAGGAATAAGTGAAGACCGGAAGACAATGAAGGACAGACAGCCAAAAGCCTTGACTCAAGGATAAGTTTGGGCTTCATTTATTTATCAACATTGATGGTTATGCAACACTATGAAAATATTTATTGTCCTTGAGTTGAATGAACACATTAAAATGGTTGAAATCATAAATGGAAACACTGAAAGTTTTTTTTTTAATGTAGTTATTTTCTCGGAAAAAAAATATATTTACTACCTTTCTTAGTCACACTAAAGAGACTCATCCTAGTTTTCAGACCTTATGTCCCAATGTAGATGTTACCATATATTGGGTTGTCATATTATTCTGTTTTTCTTTTCTTTTCTTTTTTTTTTTTAAAGATTTATCTACTTATGCATACAAGAGCTGGGCTACAGGCCAGAGGTGCAGGGGGTGAGAGGATTCACCAGAGACAGAGTGGGGAGCAGAGAAGGCGGATTGACTGAAATATACTACTGAGGGCAGCAGGCAAAACAGGAGAGGTTTGCTGTACCATGAGGATTAGCTCCCTGGCCCAGGATCGAACTCAAGCTATCAGGATGATAGCACTGAGACTTAACCCCTAGGTCACCAGGGAGGCCCCTATTTATTCATATACTGGCAGTGTATTCAAGTGTTAGAATAAAATCTAGAAATATATTCATTAGTGCCAGCTTTGAAAAATAATACTGGTGGGCCTCCCTGGTAGCGCAGCGCGTTGAGTGCAGTGCTATGTAGCTGTACACAGCCTCTGCAGCACCGGTTCGAATCCCAGTCAGCCAGGGAGATACCCACATGGCACGGCAGACCTCTCCTGTCTTGCCTGCTGCTCCCCTCAGCAGTGTATTTCAGTACATCTGCCTGTTCTGTTCCCCATTCTGTCTCTGGTGAATCCTTTCACCCCCCACACTTCTGGCCTGTACTCCAGTTCTTGTATGAATAAATAAATAAATCTTTAAAAAAAAAAAAATTCCAAAGCTATGAGATGCTTTCAGCTTCAAGTAAAGAACCCCATATTCAAACTGGCTGCATGAAGACATTCATTAACACCAAACAGTAAATGGGTGTCAGGGTTGGCTGATTCAGAGACTGGAAAAGCCAGGGGGACCTCTGTACTAGTTGATTTCTTAAAACCATGTGCATTTATTACTTATATTCTTAAGAATGCCATTTGTGCTACTGAAAGATCAGACATACTGATATAGGCACAGATCAAATTTTAATACATTAGGGACCATTGGTGCATTAACTTGTGCTGCCTGAACAAGAATTTTTGTGGAAAACTTTTGCTATATCTGTGCATTTAAATGTGCATCATTGTTTAGGCAGATCAAAGCTCCACCCTGGTCCTTTAAAATTCAAGTCTGCCCATTCTTGCACAGCTGTGAAGGGAGCATACTTCTAGAGCACGTTCACCACACTCAAAAGACCAGCAAGCCCCAGGCACTTGGTCACACAGATTCTGGTATAAGGGTCAGTTATGCAACCAGTGAATGAAAAATCCAAAGATATAATTCATGATTGTGCTTTGAAATGCACATTTCCTACTTGTCTTTCCTGTTTTTGAATTAAGTTTTATTGAAGGGTATCCTGAGACTGCATGATGAGGTATTTGAATTTTTTTATAATAGCAAATATTAGTAAATAGTAAAAATAGTTCACTATTTTTTAGCTGTATCACTCAGATTTTTCTCAATTCAGTGTAACTGAAATAAAACAAACGAATTAGACTGCTGAGGCTGACAAAAGACAGCAAGCGGGTTTTCTTTTTTTTGTTAGCTTTTTAAAAGATTTATTTATTTATTTATATATATTTTTTTTAAAGATTTATTTATTTATACAAGCACTGGGTACAGTCAGAAGCGTGGGAGGGTAAGAGAATTCACCAGAGCCAGAGCAGGGAACAGAGAAGACAGAAGGACCGAAGTACACTGCTGAGGGGAGCAGTGGCCGGCAGGAGAGGTCTGCGCGCCATGTGGGACCCTCAACTCAGTGGCTGGGGAGCAGCCGGGGATCGAACCGGTGCTGCAGAGGCTGCGGGCAGCTTCGCAACCCAGCGCTCAACTGCTGTGCCACCGGGGAGGCCCAGATTTATTTATTTATGGGAACAAGAACTGGGGTACAGGCAGAGGTGCAGAGGGTGAGAGGATTCACCAGAGACAGAGTAGAGAACAGAACAGGCAGACTGACTGAAATACATTGCTGAGGGGAGCAGTGGGCGAGTCAGGAGAGGTCTGACCATGTGGGTCACCTCCCTGGCTGGGGATAGCTTCATAGTGCTGCGTCTTAACCCCTTGTGCCATGAGGGAGGCCCAAGACCACAAGTGTTATCCATGACTCCCAATTTGATATTTGTATGTATCAAAATAGCTTCATTTTATCATTCGCTATTTTGATATAAGGCTGTTACAAATCTGAAACTTTAATATACATTTGTGCTAATGTCACTGTAATTATTTTACATTGGGGTTCAGTGAAAATTTCATTTGATAATTATTTTTCTGCTAAAAAAAGGTTCATTACCATTGGCCTATGCAGTACAAGATTAGAAGACATCCAGAATGTCACAAAATCTGAATCTGAGTAATAATCCATTTTTCCTGTGAAATATGAGATTTTGAGGAGGGTAGTTGCCATGGGTGTTCACATTTAAAGTTGATGAGATTAATTTTAAACAACCAAATTTATTAGTATCTATAAAGTGAGTCAAGGAATATATTTATCAGTCCTCTAAGTTAAATTACAATGTGATTTTCAAGATTATATGCTACTTCTATAAAAACAGTAGTACATTAGAAATCCAAAACAGAATTGGCTATCCATATAACAAATTTTACAATATAGCGATTTCAAAACCTCCTTTGTGAGAGGTAGTAGAAAGACAAGATGTGGTGTCAAAAGATGATTTTGAGTACTAGTCCTTAGGTCATGCCGTCTTTGGGTCATTGTTATCCTATAATACACCCACCTCACCAGGTGGAATGAGGACTGAAAGGGATAGTAAATATGGATGTAGCAAAGTACTATAAAAAGAGGCTTAATGTTGTATTCTTAGGTTCTGTTTCCCTATATTGGATATCATAGTCTTAGTTTCATAGAGATCCTAAACAAGTATCAATGCAAAACTACTTGGCAGATCTGAAGTAGTCATACCAAAGAATGAACATTCCAACTCTTAAACCCATCTAGAGTATGCCAATGTTATATTCCGCAACGAATATATGCCAATGACAAGCAAGCTGACTATGCTCTTAATCTATATTGGCTGTTTCCTTATGAAACAGAAATAAAATGTGGGAATGATATACAGATAAGTGACTTAACAAAAATCTTTTTGAAGTTTTTAATGTATTTTTAAATTATACGGTTCACAGTAAATTCTTACAAAGGTATTTTATGATTGCATCACAGCAAGCCATTGCATGTTGGGATAAAGAACATAAGCTAAAAGACAAATGAATCACTAGAATTAAATATGCACAGCTTATTTACATTTTCTTAAAACAAAAAATCAGGGCTGTCCAGCAGCATCTAGGCATACTGCTACCACCTCTGTTACCAACTGGAATCAAAGTTGAAACATTCCTGTGATCTTGTTAAGTATTAGAGGGCTTTGGTTTTTCTTTTAGCAACCAGATTTTTCAGGAAAAATTCACCTATTAGAAAAACATGAAAATATATTAATATCATTTTAAAGTAAATTTCAGAACAATGATTCTGTTTCCCCTTAAAGATGACTTTCAGATTGACTGTATTTCTTCTTTTTAAATCTCAATGGCAATACTTTTCTAACCTCTTATATCTTCTACTTGGCCCTTTCCCTGCAATAATGATCAGCTATCATTCCTTAAAAAAAAATTATCACTGCAGTGTCTACTATTATTCTTTGCAGTAAATCAATCTTATAAAGGGTGACTCTATTGTATCTGTGGGTCTGCTTCTGTACATTTTTTCCACTTTATGTGCACTATCTATTCCTCGTCAGTGACAAAGTATTGCTGCTGGCACAATTCATTTCAGAGAGCAATTCTGCTACATTATTAGCCTGGATCTGATGTTTATAAAACAGACTGCGTTGCAGTTGAGCAGACTCATCTGATGGAATCTCTGTAGCTTATTCCCCTCTAGGGAAGCAAGAGCTCTTCATTTATAATGGGCTTTCTCTCTACTCCCTAATTTGGGCCTGGGCAGTAAGTTAGCTGCTTAGAGGGCACATTCACTTTTCTGGTCATTAGGGTCCATTTAACCTGTCATGGGTATAGCACGGCCTGATAGAAGTGGCAGAGCTCAGCACTAGAGGCTGGAGGAGTCTAATTTTTTTTGCCATCTTAATATAGTAGAATTGCAATGACTGTATTTGTAAACAGTCACCAGAATCCTAAGGCTCTACCCTAACCAGGTAAAAGAGAATAATCCATGTTTCATCTAAGCATCTATCTAAATATGGAATAATCCATATTTCATCTAAGTCTGACAGGAATAGAACCAGCGTTGTCAGACCCTAATCCATTATTTGAGTCTAAGGCACTACATGCCAGAATTCAATCTTTTACTGGTAATTTTAAAAGTGTAAGTCTTAGTGCACTTCCATATAAATGTTAGAAAATTTCAAAAAAAAAAAAAAAAACCACAAAAACTCAACAAAATAAAAAACCCTTTCAAATGGTACCATTCTACTTTAACCATTCTGGAAACTTAAGTTGTTTTATATATGTTGTTATCTTATCAGCAGCACTACTTAAAAAATTAAATCACTTATAATTACTGGCCTCCATAGTCCCCACATCTTGTCACTGCTGAATCAAATTCTAAGGTTTTATAACTATTATTTATTTATTTATTTATTCATTCATTCATTTATTTATTTATGCATACTGGGGTATAGGCCAGAGGTGGAGGGGGTTGTGTGAGAGAGAATTCACCAGAGACAGAGGGGAACAGAACAGGTGGATGGACTGAAATACACTGCTGAGGGGAGCAGCAGGTAAGATAGGAGAGGTCTGCTGCGCCATGTGGGTAGGTCCCTGGCCAGGGATCGACCTCGTGCTGCAGAGGCTGCGGATAGCTTCATAGGTTGCGTCTTAACCCCTTGCGCCACCAGGGAGGCCCTTGAATTTCTTTATAGGACTATACTATTTTTTTTTTCTTTTTCCACTCCTTAGGAATATACTGAGTATTACTAATAATTGAACATTACATTTACAAATAATTTATGCTAATTTAAATATACTTATGATTTAGAACACAACATTTAACACAGTCATTTAAAAGATCATTAATAGTTGAGACATATGCAAATATTAACTATTCGCTCTTTAAAAAAATACAATTGCTAAGTATAAATAACAGAGAAAACACCATAAACATCTTTTGGATTAAATTAAGCCCTCAGATATGTTCTTATAGATGTTTTGATCACAATTACACACATCTTTTTTTTATCCCTTGGATAAGAGTTTTCTTTTTTTTTAAAGATTTATTTTCATTTATGCATACAGAACTGGGGTGTAGGCCAGAGGTGGGCGGGGGGAGGTGAGAGGATTCACCAGAGACAGTGGGGAGTAGAACAGGCAAATCTACTGAAATACACTGCTGAGGGGAGCAGTGGGCAAGACAGGAGAGGTCTGCTGCACCATGTAGGTTAGCTCCCTGGCCAGGGATCAAACTCATGCCATAGTGGCTGCCAATAGCTTGATAGTGCTGAGACTTAACCCTTTGTGCCACTAGGGAGGCCCAAGAGTTTTATTTTCATAAGTCAGCTCAAGCTACCAATCAAAGTAAGAGCTGGTGAAAAAGGTGAAAAATTGTACTGATGTTAGTCAAAACACTGACAATTTCTAGAAGGAAAATAATCTTACGGATATTTTTCTTGTTGCTCTGGGAGGATAAAAACACAAAGATATTAATGGTACAAGTAGTAATGCTATCAGAAAGGCAGTTTTCAGGGTTTAAATTGATCGGAAATTGGGAGTTTGGTGATATAGTTGGCATCACTGTCATATAAATATACATTTTTTAAAAAAATCAGGTTACATGCTGACTGCTATTTGTCACTTATAAATATCCATCATTGAAGTCCACACAAGAATAAACTGATGATAAAAGCTAGACTTATGAAGCAAGTTCCTAAGGATGTTCCAGAAAAAATATTTTGGTTGTCACAAAAGACAAGCAAAAAGAGATGAAAATCTCCTTGAGCTTAACATGGAAACAATGGTCTGTAAAGCCACCCCCGCAGTCCAGCTTACCTGCTTTATATGAAGATCGCACCAGAGGGCCACTTGCAGTGTAATGAAACCCAAGTTCATTTCCTACTTTTTCCCAATATTTGAACTTTTCAGGAGTAATATATTCTTCAACCTGGATTCAAAAGATTAATTTTCAGATTCCAGAATTTCCCTTCTGGAAATTAAGATTCTTAAGCTTATGTCTTGCTGGTCTTGGTATTTTCTGCTTATTAGCGTTGTGTCTGGCACATAGTCACAACTGAATAAAAGTTTCTTGAATGAATGAATGTCTAACATGGAAATAGAAAGATCAAATCCCAAGATCACAAGATGTGAGTGCAATTTCCCAACTTTTACACTGTACATTAATGTACAGAAAGTCATACATGTTAGTGGCAGCAAGTAAATGCCAGTGTAGCTGCTTTATGCAGATACTAAAATGGAAACTGGGTCTTAGAAATTTACACTAAGAGGTCAGCGACTTCTAAATTTTACCTACTGACAACAGGTCAATAAAAATTTAATTCAAATTACTAATAAACATTTGGTAACTCAGGATAGCTATACCTTAAGGTGACGCTTTGTTGGCTGCATATATTGTCCTAAAGTCAAACAGTCCACATCTGCCTCACGAAGGGCTATAGGAAAAAAAGCACACATGACTTCCACAGGTATTTCTACAATGCTAAAATCGTACATTTAAGCACATAATTTTACTCCAGAAAAGTGTGAACTTTTATGCTGCCCTGCAGTCCTCAGGTTGGGGAATAAGACTACACCCATCCATTCTCAAGTACTTAGGTGCTCATATAGTAAGGACTGAAAACACAGGCATGATTAAAAGTATCATTAGGGATAGATAGGTATCAAGATAACTCTAATACTATGGAAAAAATGTTAAAATAGGGTGTTTAGGGCAGGATTCTGGTAAGCAGAAAAGATGAAGGGAACCACATATGGAAGGTCTGAAAACACTCATATGATAGACCAGACATATTATGATAGGCTTTTACTAAATGTACAAGAACTGCTTTGGGAGATGTGATTTAATTTCTGACACATTAGAATCTTTATAGTAAAACTACATGTATTATGGCAAAGGACAGATTTTAATTACTATTTGAACTTTCTTTTCTTTGAACCAAAAACAACTACAAAGTAGGCCAAGGATCCTCCGGAAAATAAGTTTTTATATTTAAAAATGTAAAAAGCCTAAGAATCACAAAACAATTAAGCTTATGGGACTAAAGTTCAGCAAACCCCAAAGCACATCATATTTTATGACACAGCCATGGTAAGCTCTTCCTAAAAGGCCTGGCTTTATCTTAGTCATCTCTGAGCTGTTAGTGCCTGCCAGAGCTCATGGTACCTGGGTGGCTTTCAAAAATTATCCATTGACTAAGTAAGTGAACAAAATCATGTTTTCATTGATAAAAGGGTATAGAATAAAATGGGGCATAAATGTCATGTTCTGAGCTTCCTGTTTACATTTCATAAAGTCTAAAAAACCACGCTTCCTCTCCTTTCAATGTTACTGTTAATAATCATATTCTTTACTTTGTTCTTAATGGCATTTTCATGAGCCTCTGGAGGAAAGAAAAAATTTAACAAGGCCTTTAAAACAGGTTTCTGCTATTACTCAAATTAAATGGGATAATTTTTCATTTTTCAATTGCTTTACCTTTCATCGTTGCATATACTTGCTCGTCATTCTCACCTAAACCCAACATTATAGATGTTTTAGAAATAACATCTGGTTGAACCTCCTTGGCATGTTTCAGTACCCGCAGAGACTGGTCAAAATTGGCCCGGGGATCACGGACTTTCCTTGAAAACAACAGGGATGTTGTCAGCAAGAATAACCACAAGCTCATCTAAATATATACAGTTACCCAAGCAACCTGACAGACCAGAAAAGTATACATTCTGGACATTGTGTTACACCAAAGGTAGCATTTGTGCACAAATACTGCCTGTTACTGCAGTAAAGAAAATAAGGCTTCGTGGGGCTACTAGCTCTGTCTACTTTGGAGATCTTACAAACCAGGAGTAGAGAAAAATAGAATTCAGCTTATGAATCGCTTGTGAAACTAGAATTTGGAAACTGAGAATGAGTGAGTGTATGGGGTAGTCAAGAGAGAAGAGTAAAAGTAGAAGTAAGGAAAATCTGATACTAAACAAAGAAAAAATTGTTTAACTTGAACCCACATTTCAGAGGTTTGAAAGTTTTATGTTCTTTTCTAAAGACTAAGCTGCCCTCTGTTGGTGAGTATATGACATTGTATGTCTTAAGTGGAAAAAAAAAAAAAAAAAAGCACAATTCTGGAATTTTCACCAGGAAGGATGATTAAGTGAAACCAGGGAAATTGGCACCCACTGGTGGTGGTATCATGAGATAGGACAGGGAAGGAATAGACTGTGCTGGACTTTAACAGTGGCCAAACCACCATCACTTAAATGGCAACAAGGCCCAAAGGACAGGAAGTTGGCTGATGTTATACCAGCAATTATTTGAATTCTAATGTACATTTATTTTGTTTACTGATCTATTCTTTTCAATCAGAGAATAATTCACAAAGGAGGCAAATCTATGAGTTTAAAAATAACCACAAAACTTGCAATACATATTTTTTTAAATTTAAAATTAAAAAAATTAAATTTTAATTTATGTTCTCTCATGCTAATTTATGACTTAATGGAAATTCTGCTTACCAAACACACTTCTTCCAAGTTTTATAACACAGACTATATAGAAGCTAATAAACCACTGCCAAATACCTTACTAAAATTAAATAAAATTAACATACTAATTTTGCCTGAAGGTTAAAATGATTATTTTCTGAAATATTAATAAAGTCATTGATACGGAATAATATTACACAATTAGTCCTCAGTGCTAAAACTATTCAGAAGAGATGGAATACTTTGTGGATGTCACAGTGTCTACTTTTTAAAAGCAATCTGAAATATATCTGAATGATACCAGTTTTTCTTCTGTACCATTTTTATATGTATAATATCCAAATGTATTTTTAGTCATTTTATTTTGAAATTACAAAGCAATTGTATTATGTATTTTTTTCTTTTTGAAAACTGCTTTTTGAAAAAAATTACTCATTAGTACTTGCAATATACTATTTTTTTATCTTTGTAAACCTTATTTATTGATTTACATTTTATTTTTTTATCATCAGCATTTAATTTTTAAAATTTTATATATTTTTACATCATTTTTCATTTTTGCACAATGTATGCATTTTCATCTTTGTTATAGTTGATTTACATTTTTTTTAATAAGTTTTATTTATTTTTTAAAGATTTATTTATTTTTATACAAGAGCTGGGGTACAGGCCAGAGGCGTGGGAGGGTGAGAGGATTCACTCTATGGGGGTTAGGGGGCGGGGAAAGGAGGGATTGGGGTCAAAATAAGGGGGTTGCAATTGTATGGGGAATATAAAAATAAAATTTATTAAAAAAAAAAAAGTAAATCAGAGCCTCCCCCATGGTGCAGCAGGTTGAGTGCGGTGCAGTGAAGTTGTCCGCAGCCTCTGCAATGCCTGTGCAATATATTATTTTTTAAAAAGGGAAAAAAAGATGTTCATTCTGTGTGTATGTATAAAAATATAGATACATGTAGAAATATATAAATATATACTTAGTAGCTAACTGGGGTGCAGGCCAGAGGTATGTGTATGTGTGTGTGTGTGCGCGCGCGTGTGCGTGAGAAGATTCACCAGAGGCAGAGTAGGAAGCAAAACAAGCAGACTTACTGAAACACACTGCTAAGGGAAACAGCGGGTAAGACAAGAGAGGTCTACTGGGTCATATGTGTTAGCTCCCTGGTGGGGACTGAACCCAGGCTGTTGCTTAGTAGTGAGTAATTGAAATTATGAGGTGGAATGTTAGAGGTGATGTTTATGCTCTTTTTGTTGGCTACATTTTCTGATTTCCTTGGAACGGACATATATTGTTTTGTTTTATAAACAAAGAGTGTTCCCTTTGTGAAAGTCAAACACAAAGTTTTCTCTAGAATATCTGACCCTCTTAAATTCCCCACATTACCCTGTACATGTAATCACCTCTGCAATTCTGGAACTGTTTCTATATTATGTGCATATACATCTAATCCTGACAAAGCAACTTTTTCTATTGCTTTAAGATCTCCTCGGAAATCAGGGGTGAGACATTCCACAAGAATTCTTGGATTCCTAAAGAGGAAAAAGATAAGTATCAAATTGAAGAAAAGAAATAACGTAAATGTTGCTCAAAATAGAAATTAGAAATTACCAGTACTCATTCAGTATCAGTTTCAACACAATAATCTTTAGAACTTTGCCAAGGAAACAGTTATACAAATGTTCACCTATGAATTGTTATATGAAAAAAAAATTAAAAACAGATCAAATAATACATACCCAGCAGCTAAAATACATCTGCATGCAAATATTGATTAGAAAAAAATTTAAGATTATAACTTTTCAACCTTATTGAGTAGATATTAAAAAATATAATTGTCTAAAGGAATTAAATGTAAATATTTAAACACTAAATATATATTTTTTTATTCTTTGGAATACAAAATGGAATACTTCTTACGTGAATGTAAATAACATTTGACTAATTTTGATCTTTTTAAAATTCACCAAATGGTGCCCTCCTTCCTTCTTCTAGGCAATTATTTCACAAGTGCTGTGGGTTTTAAAAATGATTTTCTGAGTAGCTAAGTCATGAACTTGACTTAAATGAAAAACAAGCTAAACATTAATCTTCCACTTATGTCAGGCTGTATCTATGCATTCAAACATTAAAATGTAAACTGGCTCATAGAGTTGTTCCCTTTGATAGCAGTAGAAAAGACTGGGAAAGCTGACAATTTTTCTCACAAATCCAATGGCAGTTTCTAGAGCAGTTTACTGAGAACAGATGTAGAAGGACCTCATATATACCGCTCATGATTAAGGGTTGCTGAAAGAACACATTATATAACCCACTGCTTTTTTTTAACTGCAAGTTGAGACTGATAAGTGGCCTATGGATAAGTGCGTTGCAAACAATTTTTTTTTAAAGATTTATTTATTTATTCATACAAGAACCAGGGTACAGGTCAGATGTGCGGGAGGGTGAGAGGATTCACCAGAGACAGAGCAGGGAGCAGAACAGGCAGATGACAGAAGTACACTGCTGAGGGGACCAACAGGCACGACAGGAGAGGTCTGCCGCACCATGTGGGACCCTCGTCGGCTGACTGGGATCGAATCGGTGCTGCAGAGGCTGCAGACAGCTTCACAGCGCGGCGCTCAACTGCCTGCACTGCCAGGGGAGGCCCTTGCAAACAATTTTTTTAATGAGGTATAAAAAACTAGAAAACATTACTGGAATCAATGGAAAAATACAAAATATGCTAGGTGCTAGACTAGAACTGAGCTGTAGGAAATCAGCATTTTTATGCTTTTTAAACTCCTCTTTTATACTTTTTAAATAAATGGGATTAAAAAATTAATAATAATGTGAATTATGGGTAAAATTCCCAGGGCATATGATTATGGAGAAAATCCATATCAAGACTAGCATAATGTAGGAGCTTATCTCTGGAATATGATTTATTCAAAATCAGTGCAATGAAGACTACAATTTTACACTTCCCTTAAAAATTACCCAAAGTCTAGACTAACACTAAAACTTCAAATATGGAAGGATTCTATGGAGTAAAGGTACTGGGTAAGTTTGTGTTGCTGAATCTTATGCGTATCTGCAAACATGTATCTCTATGTTCAAATATGTTTGAACATGCTGAAGAAACACCATACAATTTCCAAGAGATTATCAGAGGCTTATAACCCCTCAAAAAGGGTAATATCCATTTCTTTAAGGTAAAGACCTTAAATAAGCTGAATTTATCAGGGGTCAAAACAAGTCCTTAAATTATATAAGCAAATACAAAAACAAGTACCTCTCCTTCAAGTATGACACAGTCTTTGCAAAGTGCTCAGCTCCTCCATCAGGCATATCTAGAAACAAAAAAGCCCCCTGCTCATGCAGATGTCACAACTCAATAATAGTCAATTTCTGGAAGAAGTATTGATGACAGACACACTGACCATCTCGATCCACAGACGTCAGGACAACATAATCCAGACCCCACTCTGCTATTGCTTTTGCAGTATTGTAGGGCTCATTGGCATCCAGTGGAGGTGGATTTCTTGAAGTCTTAACAGAACAAAATCTGCAACCTCTTGTACATGTGTCACCCATTAACTAAAACAGAGATGTTACAACTGATATCAAATAGACAACTGACCCTCAAAATACATTGAGAGAATAAAGCAAGTTGCAAAGAATAGCTCAGTTTGAGTCTGCTTATAAGAAATTTGAATACTCACAGCTAAACAAAATGTAGTTAAGAAATACAAATATACACAGTAAAACTAGAAAGAAAAGGAAATGACAGCTCAGAATTAAGAATACTGTTATGGGAAAAGGAAAGGAGATGAAGAAAGGATACATGGGGTTCAGATACAATGCTAATGCTTTATTCTCAAACTGGAGGTAAACTGCGTATCAGTATCCTCTCTGACTTACACATATGTTATAAAGATTCTTTTGTATATATGTAATGTTAACAAAACTGATTTTAAAATATATTGAATTAACATACTAGAATGTAGGTCTCTGTTGGCCGGTGGAATGAGAGCAAGCATCAAGCAGAAGTTTCAAATGTGCACTAATAGCTAGCTTGTCCTCTGTGCTCCTTGCATTCTTTATTTTTTTTTTTAATTTATTTTTTTTTTTTTAAATTAATCTTTTTTAACGATTTATTTATTTATTTATTTATACAAGCACTGGGTACAGTCAGAGGCTCGGGAGGGTGAGAGAATTCACCAGAGCCAGAGCAGAGAGTAGAACAGGCAGAGTGACGAAGTACACTGCTGAGGGGAGCAGCGGGCGGCAGGAGAGGTCTGCGCGCCATGTGGGACCCTCCTCTGGTGGCCGGGGAGCAGCCGGGGATCGAACCGGCGCTGCAGAGGCTGCGGGCAGCTTCGCAACCCAGCATTCAACCGCTGCGCCACCAGGGAGGCCCTCCTTGCATTCTTTATGAAAAAATACGCCTTGGAAAGCTGCTGATCTAAGGAGAATAAGGTGCCAGAGCAGATCTGAATTCAACCTACTTCCTAGAGTCCAATTTAGCCCCCATCAAGATCAACTGAGCCCCATGAGAGAGAGCCCTTAAAAGACCCATGAGAGAGAATAATTAATGCTCGTTGTAGAGGAGAAAGGAAGTTAAGCTATCATGAGTTACAATTTCAAAAATTAATAGAAGAGCTAATGCAAGGCAGTAAATGTGCAACTTTCAGATAGATGAAAGAATCAATAATAAGATTTATTCAGAAAAGAGTATGACTTTTCCATCAGGTTTTTTTTTTTTGCACATGTAAACTCATATGTGATGAAACATGACCAGATTCATAGTGTACATTTTTAGGAAAAAGGCAAAATATTTCCTTTCTAAACTAAAACTTTAGAGTTTAAGGCTGGCCTTACCATGATTGTGGCTGTGGCAGTGGCAAATTCTCCACCTCCCCAACATTCTCCAATATTGGGACATCGAGCTTCCTCACAAACCTAAAAGGAAAAGGGAACTCAATACAATCAGGCTGAAAATATTTACCAGTTGAACAAATTAAAGACCAGTATTTTAAACCATCCACTCTTTATAGCATTTATTAAGAAATTCACTATTCAAAAAGGACACTAAAATATCAAACTACATATATTAGAATCTCTCCCCCTTTTAAATTGAGGTACCATTGGTTTGCAACACTGTGTATGTTTTAGCAGCACACCTCTTCAAATATATGTAACACATGGTCAGAATCCAAGATTTGTTTTGGTCTTGTTTCACCTTTTCATTTGCTTTGCTTCTTTTATACTTCACATATACATGAAATCAAATAACATTTTTAAGTTAAAAAACATATGAATATATTTATTTTATATGTGCAAAACAAAGTCTGGAAGACTATATATTAAATATTTAAAGAGATATAGTTAACATCTGGAATCATGTATATGACATTTCACATTTAATATTTATGCTCCTTCCAACAAGCCATATACTTAATTTGTAAAATAAAACAAACAAAAAGTCCCTGATTTCCTAAGTTGCAGGAAAAAAGACCTCATTTTTTTATACTATTAAATGAGAGGTTAAGAAATACATACATTTTTTCATTCTTTTCAGGGAAAGTGATTTTTAAAATGGATTTCCATTACTGATAGTAATGTATCACTAAATATCTTTGCTTTCCTTATTAATAGCAACATGTATTTCGTTAATTTCAAAATTATATGTATGTAGAAACATGATTTTGGGAGGAATATTTAAAATTTTGTCGACTTACTGTATGGAGATTTAAATTCCGCAATGTATTTTTCAGTTTATTGTAATTTTTCCCCATGGGAATCTCTGTCTTTAGCCATGGAGGTAGTCTTAACCTGAGGAAAGCCAAACATAACTATTCATTAACAAGTATGTCCCAAATAATCTCACATTAAGTTACTTTGCTTTATTACAATGCCTAGTTGAGAGGGTTTTTTCCCTATAAACCTGGATTAAGGGCCTCCTTGGTGGTGCAACGGGTTAAGTCGCAGCACCATGAAGCTAACCTCAGCCACTGCAGCAGGAGTTCAATCCTTGGCCAGGGTGCTGACCCACGTGGCACAGAGACCTCGCCTGTCTCCCCACTGCTTCCCCTGGCAGTGTATTTCAGGTGATCCACCTGTTCTGCTTCCCACTCTGTCTCAGATGAATCCTCTCACCCCCCTCCCTGCACCTCTGGCCTGTACCCCAGTTCTTGTATTCATAAATAAATCTTTAAAAAAATAATAAAATTAAAATGATGCATGTTCAAAGAATGGGACATTAAAGTTATCCCAAATTTCAATTACCTTTCTCCTTTCTGGCGTTTTAAGTTTCCTTTATATTCACTCCAGGTGCTCTTGTCTGCAAGGTCACCAGATACAAAATCTTGAAGGTCTGGTCCATTCTGTAAAAATTCCTTTTTTTTATCTGGCAAGGAACTTACTGCTCTGATTGGACTGTATACATACCTTGCAAATATCTAAAAAAAAAAAAAAAAAAGTTCATTATGACATGTATTTATAACAATTTAGTTTTAACCTACCTTAATATTTAAATGAAGGGTAAAGCCAGAGAACTGATTCAGAAATTATGTCAAGCTATTGACAAGCTCTATATAGGAGCTTAGAATCTAAGATTAAAGAGGGCTCAAGGAAAATAAACCAAACCTCAAGGAGTATTGGAATTAACTATTTACTATTAGATTTAGAAATCTTTGCAAATGGCTAACCTATATCACATTTTCATGCATCCCACTTAACAAATAATAAAATTCTGTCCTTCATCAAGTAAACAGCAGAGATGCCACAGCTGTAACTTTTCTATTCCTAACTTGAAGTCAGGAAAGTTTAAAAGGAAACTAATTTGCAATTAGTTCCTCTGCTTTACCTTTGACTAAGCAGAGGTGTTAACGAGGTAATACTCAGCTGGTTTTAGAGAACTGGAGGAGAGACAAAGCAAACTTTACGTTGTTTTAATTTTCTAGGTTACATTGTTGGCAGTAGGGCAGTCACGCGAAACACAGCTGTTGACCATAGGAAAACAGTGGCTTCTAGATTTAACATAGACGTGTACAAGAAAACCAGAACACTATAAAAGTCACGAACCAGTACAAGTAACACCAAAGAACCGTCAAAAGAAATTCAGAAAGTCCTTTACGGTGCTGCACGTGGAATGACACTGGTCTATAGTTTCCGTTAAAATCTAAGCACAGTTTTGTGTTGTCCACTCCAGTGCGATGCCTAATACGCAGTAAGAGTACAATACAGTAATTTGGGGTGCTCACACTACTCCAATAGTGCTCCAATAAAAACAGGGTGCAAATCACGCAGATTAGCGGGAGGGTAGGGGGGTGGTAAGGGGGGAGGTGGGTTAGTCGCTCTTAGCGCAGGCCAGAGAGACCGATAAACAAATCAGCACTAAAGACACCGTCACCCGGGTGTCCGGAGAATTAAGTGTAATGCCACGCGAAAAAAACTTAGACCTATGCCTGGCTAGAAGTAAACGATCAGTAAGTGCCACCTTGTTATTGGGCGCTCTAAAGGAAGGGGAACCCCCAGCCCACGCCCACACCCACGCCCCTCCGCTCACCCGGGGCCCCGAGGAGAGGGCGACGCCCCCGCAGAGCAGAGACATTCCCTAGTTTTTTCCCTTGCAGCGTGGAAGTATTGCTAATTCACGGGAAAAGACAGATCGACAAGCCGTCGCTCGGCTTGTGACGGAAATCCTGCGCCACCACAAATATAAAGAACCTGAACTGCTCCGCAATTGGCTGCTTTGGCCTACTGGCGTCGCGCGCTCATGACGCAATACGCAAGTTCCTTACGGCCTACAAGAACGTAATGACGAAAGACGCTCTCTCTTTGCCGCATCTACTGCGAGGTGAGGGGTTGTTGGTCACGGTGGGCTCTTTGAATCTGAAGCCATCGGCTCTGGGGAAGCCAGCGGCGCGGTTTTGTCGCTCGAAGCACTTACACCTGTTGTCTCCCTGCCGTGTGGATATGGCAGCGCTGGGATTTGAGCGCTGTTCTGAGCTTGTAGGCCTCCCGCCCTTAGCCTTGCCGCGATGGCGCTGTCCTGATAGAACTCCCAGCCTGGGCTGAGAGGCAGTTGGCCAAGTGGGCCTCCCAGGCCAGGACACATTTAGGGCCGTTCTCCGTGTTAGTCCTTCGGTATTCTCCCCGGGATGGCTCCCTGCCGGTCTCCGGTAGGAGCGGAGCTCAGTGCAGGGTAGTTTGGTCGGAAACAGGTCCTGCGCTGGCCTTCTTATCCCGAGTGTTTGTGTTTCAGAATGAAGACCATTCTCAGCAACCAGACTGTCGACATTCCAGAAAATGGTAAGAGACATGGATGTTTGCATGGTGTTTGCATTTTCACTAAGTTATACCTCGTTCGAAGGCCTCACAGATACGTTTTTTTCCTAGTTGACATATCCCTGAAGGGTCGCACTGTTATTGTGAAGGGCCCCAGAGGCACCCTGCGGAGGGACTTCAATCACATCAATGTCGAACTCAGTTTGCTTGGGAAGAAAAAGAAGAGGGTGAGTGAGTTGGGAGGGTAGTGGTCTGATCGCACTAAATTTGGTTGCCTTGAAAGATACAGAATTGAGTTTCCATGTTTTGTCATTAAATCTGATGCCCAAAATTGTGACTGGATTTGGTGGTGAGCCTTCAGTGGAGTCGGAAAGCCATGTTCTAAATAGACTGGATTATAAATTCAGTTCAGTACCAGAAGTCATTAGTGGCGAGATTTTTCTCATAATTGTTTTGTAAGAGTCTTGGGAACTGAAAGTAGTTCTTTAAAGTCTGGTAATTTGGGTTTTCCAGAAATCAAGTTTGCTGCAGCTTGTACAGAAATTGGTGTTCCTGAGTTGTCATTTGTCTGTAAAACTTCATTTGCGATGTATATTTTTTAAAAAATGTCAACTGTTGAGGGCTTTATATTTGGATGCATTTTCCCAGTTGAATATTATGTACTTATTCATGGTTAATTCTTCTATCTAGAGTACTTTATGAGTAAGTGGACTGTATGTTCCAAGACTGACTTTGCAAAAAAAAAAAAATCATTTTTTGTTCTGTTACAGCTCCGGGTTGACAAATGGTGGGGAAATAGAAAGGAACTGGCTACTGTTCGCACTATCTGTAGTCATGTACAGAACATGATCAAGGGTGTTACACTGGTAAGCAGAATGGGCAGAACACTTTGTTTTGGAAGCGGGGGTTTCAGGTGTTCTACACTTAAACACAACTTGTATAAATAAGTTGTGAGTGTAATTTAGGCAAGTAAGCTCTAGAAAATGTTTTGGGGAGGTTCTGAGCTTCTGTCCATTTCTCTGGAAAGCATATTTGATGTCACTAATTCTCTTTCCAAACTTCCACCGCCCTCTTCCACAAGGCCTTTAAGATAAATTTGACGTTACCTTTGCTAAAATGTGTTAAAACTCAAGTCTTTTCCAGAGTCCTCCTGATTATAGCACTCTGTACTTAACTCCCTTATAAACCTACTCAGTTATATTTCCATGTGGACCTTTGCTCCCAGGCGAAGTTCCTTGAAGGCAGGGGATGCTGTTTTGACATCTTCAAATCTTGCCATCTAATACACCTTAGTAATTCAGTTAACATTGGTCTAATGTTAAAGATAAATGGCTTTGGGATTCTCAGTAAAATAAGTTAGCATTGTTAACTGTGTGGCATAAGAGGCAGTAAATAGCTCCTTAAGGACCTTTACCATCTGGCAAAGGAGACAGGAATGCATATAAAATTTTTTGTAAGGCTTGGTACAGGTGACGTTTGTTTAAAACCCAGACAGTGCTATGTAAGGAATGTCAGTTTTAAATTATAATGTAAGCATATCACAATATTTAAAGCTGGATTTCTTGTCTTTAAATTTCAGCGTTCCTAATTATTTGTTTGCTCAACAGGGCTTCCGTTACAAGATGAGGTCTGTGTATGCTCACTTCCCTATCAACGTTGTTATTCAGGAGAATGGGTCTCTTGTTGAAATCCGAAATTTCTTGGGTGAAAAATACATTCGCAGGGTTCGGATGAGACAAGGTATGTATATACCTTCATATTTGGTTCCAAATATGAGCCAGTATTTTGGATCAGCTTTAAGTAAAACCAGATTAACTTATTGGGGGTAGAGTGTGAAGAAGGGATTTTGGTACCAGCTTAATGGCTTTACAGACATTAGGTGTGATTAGTGACATGAGGACTCTCGTATAAAAGTAAACTTTGGGGAAGCAAGTATGTATGCTTTAGATGAGATTAGGCAGACCAAGCTTGGTACAGTTGGTTAAGTAGCTGAAGACTGTGTTCTCGCATACTCTTTAATTGAATCACTGAAAATCTGTAACCATTTTGGGACAGTCATTCAAATAGAAAAACAAGATGTTGGCCCAAATAAGTCATACTCTGTAAAATCAAAATATTAAGAGCTAGTTCATTTGATGTGTGGAATTTTAATTGAAATACTTAAAAATTATTTCATATTGACACTATGCAAATACATGCTCCCCTTTTAGGTGTTGCTTGTTCAGTATCTCAAGCCCAGAAAGATGAGTTGATTCTTGAAGGAAACGACATTGAACTTGTATCAAATTCAGGTTTGTATATTTACTTATCTATGCCTGTAACATTTTGCTAAATTTAATTGTTAAATTAAAATTAAAATTGTTAAATTGTTAAATTAATTTTAATTGTTAAATTAAATTTAAAATTATTCCAAATCTCTTTTCAGGCTTTAAGTATAATGTAATAAACTACTGTTTTAAAAATGGGTTTGGCTGGTAAAGTAATTGCGTTTTTCACTCTTACTAGCTGCTTTGATTCAGCAAGCCACGACAGTTAAAAACAAGGATATCAGGAAATTTTTGGATGGTATCTATGTTTCTGAAAAGGGAACAGTTCAGCAAGCTGATGAGTAAGATTTAAGGTAAGTTCTTGTAGTGTCTGGTTTTTATTACTGTTTTAGTTGGGGTCCTTTAAAGACACACGTAGGAGTTGTGATGGCATAGAATGGAGAATTACATTCTGGAATGTATTATGTTTCAGATTACATAGAATTAAATTTTTCTGGTCAAGGGTGCTGGAGATTTACCTTTTTTTTTCTTTTTTCCCTTTTTTACAGTTGTCCAGCTACAGAGCAGCAAGATAATGGATGATTTCTTAGACCTATTTGTGATACATCTTTAAGATGCAATAATAAAAGTCGTCATTGATTTGGGGCTTTTTTTTTTCCTTAAGCTGATTATCCTTTCAAACTTTTAAGCAAATAAACAGTTCAAGTCAGTTCTAGTGTGCTAAGAAAAGTAACAAGAAACAGTTTTACTGAAGGACTTTACAGAGAAAAGGCTTGAATCTGATTTCCAAAGGAATATCAAGGGTGTTACAGGCAAGAGGAATATAGTAACAGTGTCAGATGACTTGAAATTGTTAATTGGATACAGAAAATAAGAAATTTTGTAGTGATCTAAAATTGAATGTTGTGAGGCAAGTATATGTCATTCACTTGTCTATACCAGTAACTTTTTGTGAAAAGGCAACTGACAAATAGAACAAAGAGGTTTTGTGTTAGAATATTGAGTTTATGATAAACATGGTTTCAGTGCTCCAGGATCCTCTCAGTCTCAAATCTTTGATTTGCTGTAGGCATTTATTTCAGCATCCTAGTCCCTCATAATTTTAAATTAAGAAAAATAGATAACAATCACTTGGAACATGTATGCTTTAGTGAGATCTTAAGCCAAATAAATGGGGTTTTTCTATATTAAAGAGTTAATCTTTGGTTTGAAAATGGTTAAATTTTTTATATGTAAATTAAACACTATAGTGTTTAAAAATTGTGGAGCTCCTGGTCTTTCAATTTCTTCAATGTTTTGATGACCACTGTGGTAGTGGTGATTTTGTAAATAAAGGCACCCACTACCTTTCATGCAGAAACCACGGTGCCAGGTCCCCACAGCTTGTTGCTTCATCTTGGTTTTGTTACAGAAGGAGGACGTATTTTTGGTTTGTGGCTGATTTTCCTGAGAAGCACCATAATTGGGTCCGGATGCGTTTGACTGTTGCTGCAAACTAGGTCTTATCTCAGTTACAACTTTTAAGAAATGTGAATGCCAATAGGAATTGCTTTGAAGTAGATAGTGTTGGGGCAGGCATGGGTAGGGTTTTGGTGAAATAGGACTTGTTGAAGCTAACCATCAGTGGGAAGTCATACTGTTGCTACTTAAAGTTTAGAGGGTTTTCATGCTATGGAAATGAGACAAAATCCTTTTTCTCCTGGATTAGACCTAACTTACTCACTTCGTTTCTCCCCCCAAAGTTTTAGGCAACCACCAGAATGCTTTTTTCAGACTGCCCTCCCTCTTAACCTTTCTGAGTAGGCCACAGCCGAACTGACCTTCATGTTCACCTTATATCCTTTAATCTATTTAAGTTGTGTTTTCCTTTTAGAGAGGCATCCTCAAGTCTGTTACGATTTTTAAGTAAGCGCCTCCTCAGCCATACTGTACTGTGCTACTCACCCCCCTGCCCCCCGTGTATGTAACCTACTCCACTTGTTTTTGTACTTAGCCTTTGTAATGGCATTTTTGTGGTTTGTATGCTTTTTAAAAATCCTGTAAGAATATAACCATAGTGAGCATGAGATACTTCTTTTCATACTGGGTATTCTAAGTACCTGGAACATGCACAATTATTTGCTTAGTGAATGACATCCAGATCACTGTAGATTTGTTATAAAAGACTTGGGCGATAATAGCATTGGGACTGGAAAGGGGGTAGAGATGTTTTTGAAGGTATCGACAATTGCAAAAAAAATCTGAGTGGGGGGGTCATTTCCAAATGGTATTATTAGAGGTGTTAGTTGTCAGTAAGTAGGTAGTTGCAGCTGTGGGCATCGATAAAATTCTCCAGGATTGAAGTAGATAGGTGTGCTGAGTGAGACTACATGATAACCGTGAGAGGTTTGTTGTGGCTAAGTAGTTATTAAATGGAAATCACTAATGTAAATGATAGTAGTCTAGTTCTTCCCAGAAGAGATGTCTATGTCTTTTGACTGCTGTGGATAAAAATTGATTTTCCCAAATCTCAGGTATAGGTAGGTGTCCATGTTTTTGGACAAGAAAATATTCAGAACTAAGTTACCCTAGTTGGTGGACCACTTGGGAAGATGGGGCAGGGCAGTGTTGGGTTAGAAAGCAGTTAAAACAACAAACCCATTCACATTTGACCAGATTGTTGGTTATTTCTAAATAATCAGCGTAAAACAAGTTTATTTGGAATAAATTACATTAAGAATTAAACACTTATTGACTGTACTGATCTGATTTTCAAGACTAAATACCATAGTTGTGGCATTTCTGTGTATATCAACTTAGTGAAAGACAAGATTCTATAGAAAGCACAATGTAACAATACATGAGTTGTAACACAAGTTAAATTCTGCCATAGATTTTTTTTTACCAGCAAGTTTCAGAAAAGCTTAAATTCTAAAGGTTTCTTCCATTTGCTCATCAAGAATGATCAAGTTTCTAATTGACTTTTTAAATTTTTTAATGAATTTAGCACAAACCTTAATATTAGTGTAATCGTGAACCAAATTAAGTTTGCCTAGGGATTCTTGTATGGTGATAGCTTAAAAACTAGTAATTTCTGAGTGACAGAAGGACCATTAAAGCATGAACTACTATTTGGGGGAGCTTTTGGCAAGGCAACATGTTGGAAGATTAAAAGCTTAATCTCAAAAAGTGAAGACAAAAATAGTGAAGGTTAATGAACTTGTAAACTACGAGTGCAAGATAATCAGAGCAATGCCTAAATTTAATTCCAAATCCTTATCGGATACATACTTTCCCAAGATCTTAGATGCTGGGTTAATTTGATAAATTGCCCAACTGATAGTTCCCATAAGAATAATCACTGGAGTGAACCTTTGGCACAAGGAGGGGAAAATGCCTAATGGCAATTTTTTTTAAAATGAAAAAATTAGCCAGTTATTGTAATTTTGTATAGCCACAGGTCTACTGAGGTCTCAAAAAATACAAAAAGCTACTTACAGAGCACAACAAAAACACCCAAGTTTGGGGAGTAGATACCAGGTGGACATGGAGAACAGACAAGAAACTTAAGGCAAATTTTACTGTTTGAATTTGGCCACTAAATAGCAAGTTGGTTTCATATCACTTGCATTTACTTGAATTAACCAGTTGTGTTATCTTTGTAGTATATTTGGGAACACTACTATTCATTGTCAGAATCTATTCATTGTCAATTAGAATCTTAAGTACAAAATTTGGCTTTGACATAGGTGGACCCATAAAACAAAAGGGCCTTAATATAGGGTAGTTTTCTACTAAGGTCCTTAAAGGACTTTAAATCTTAAAGTTTGAATACCTGGGATATATAGATCGTACTTAACTACTGTGTGTAGTGGATAGTTAAAATTTAGATGTTAACCTAAAGAAAGGGTATACATTTAGGTTTTCAGTATACTGAGCAAAAGTAGAGTTCGAGAAATTTGGGGGGTGGGGGCGGGGAGGAAGTCCAACTTTCTCCAAATTAAGATTTAAGAATTCTAGTTTCAAAAGGTGCAATGTAACAGTTTCAACTTCTTAGACCACCATGCTGAATCACATGCAGAGTCAGTTACTAGATCTAGATAGGACTGCATTTTACACTCTGGTCCCTGTATGTGTATTTTGTCAGAATGGTGAAATTCAGGGGAGAAAGTTTTATAGACTATTATCCTTTAACAAAACTATCTTTCTAGAATGTTTGTCTTAAGTACACTGATCTTGTTTATCACCGTAAAAATCAAGTGAGGAAGAATATTAATTTGTCTAAAGGGGAAATTGCTGCAGTGAGCCTGAGCGACTTCCCCGTCTTCAAAAGCAATTGGATCTTGCTCTTCTTAATCCTGTAGTCTTTCCATGAAATGAGTTTCAGAAGATATTTTTTAAAAACTAGATCTGATTAAAGGAGAGACCTCACAAAATTTGAGGTCACATAAATGATATATTTTTATTGAGTAAAATTAGGATTGTTGTGCTTAAGAGTCTGCTGTAACTGGCTATAGATAAAGCACTATTTACCCTATTGTTTTTAATTCCCTTTTGAGAACCACCCTAACCACAAGGGAATGCACTTTGTTAAAAGTGACCATGTCACTGATGATCCAGTGTTAAGTTTTAAATCTCTGTTAATAGTCGCCAGCAAAGTATACTTTTTCAAAATAATTTTATTATTGTACGGAGCTATCGTATTTATAAAGAAAGCTAGAGAATAGTAAACACTTTAAACTTAATGAAGCAATACAGTAGATAGTCCTTAAAGCTTACACTGTAAAGCCTTGATCATCAATGAAATTCACTGATAATCAACATCTAAGTGAAAATTCATTTGAACCATATAACAGACATGGATTGTCATTACCTTGTTTACCATGAATATTTCAAATTGTATTTTGTAGGTGTAGCCTCTGTTAAGTTGCCAGTATGTAGAACTGGAGTGAATTTTTTAAATGTCTGTCATACAGACAGAAACACAATCAGTTTAGCTAAGAACTCTCTTCTGACCTTTTCTTAATGGTATGTGCTGTAAGTTCTTTGCTTTCCAAAATTTTCTTCTCTTTCGCTTATGAAAAATGGTAATTGATAAAAGTAGAGCTAGGGTAGAGAAGAAGCAACAACCAAAGAATATCAGTGGTTTCTTCTGCATAAGAAATAAGCAAACAGCACACTCTGTGTTTCTTTGATTCTGATTGCATCTAGAACTACTGTTCTCAGAAGGAAAGCCATTGTTGCTGATGAGTTTGTTGTAAAACTGTATAGAGGATTTAGCTTTGAAATCAGATGTGAAGAATCCAAATCGCGATTTAGATTTTCCTTCAGTCAGTTTGAATGTATAATAGCCTTTGACTTTGATGTTATCAATCAGGTATGCTGAAAAAAATAACAAATGAACATTAATCACATGGACTATAAAGACAAAAAAATGATAATGGCCAATGCTGGGAAGAGTATAAGTACTTTCAAATATTACTGTTTATAACAACCCAGTAATTCCAAACTAGGCGACCCATCCTAAGGAGATAATCAGAAATCAAAGATTTATAGGCAAATAGAACTTTTTTTAATTAATAAAGTTCAAAATAGGGGCCTCCCCAGTGGCCCAGGGGTTAAGTCTCAGCGCTACCACCTAGAAGGGCCACTCTAAAGGCCTGAGTGATCCCTGGCCAGGGAGGTGACCCACATGGCACAGCAGACCTCCCTTGTTTCACCCACTGCTCCCCTCAGCAGTGTATTTCAGTAGAAATGCCTGTTCTGCTCCTCCCCCTCCCCCTCCCCCTCCTTTCACCTGCACTCCTGTTCTATGCAAAAATTAAATCTTTTTTGAAAAGTTCAAGACAGGGCCTCCCCGGTGGCGCAGAGGTTGAGCGCTGGGTTGCGAAGCTGCCTGCAGCCTCTGTAGCGCCGGTTCGATCCCCGGCTGCTCCCCGGCCACCGGAGGAGGGTAACACATGGCACGCAGACCTCTCCTGCCGCCCGCTGCTCCCCTCAGCAGTGTACTTCGGTCCTTCTGCCTGCTCTGCTCCCGGCTCTGGCTCTGGTGAATTCTCTCACCCTCCCGCGCTTCTGACTGTACCCAGTGCTTGTATAAATAAATAAATAAACAAACCAATTAATCAATCTTTAAAAAAAAAAAGTTCAAGACAACCTCATCCAACACTAGTGATTAAATACCTGAGATGTGTGCACATGATGAGTTATTAAGCAACTTATAATAATGTTTACTAAGTACTTTGATATGGAACTTACTTATAATGTGATATTGGAAAAAAGTTGGATCAATTGAATTATGAGTTCAACTGCATTAAAACTAGCAGGCACACTAAGTAATCCAAATATCAGTGGTATTGTTTGGGGAGTGAAATTTCAGGTGATTTTTAAAAATACACATTCTATATATTCACCAAACTCTGTAATGAGCTGACGGTGTTACTAACGAGTCCTCTCCCGTCATTCTTTTGTTCTCATTCCCTGAGACTGCCGTGCTTTATTGTGTTTGAAATGGTCTCAGAACCTCACCTTTCAAGGCTTCCTGAATATATTTCTCTAAGTAATATTTTCGGAGTTCATCGTTTTCCAGGGACTGGTCATCGATGCCGTTGGCCGTGATGTAAACATCCACGTGGCCATAGTTCTTCTGGATCCACCTCAACACCTTCCGCTCCCCCCAGGGTATCACGGCCAAGCGGGTGGGGGAGCTCAGGCAGGTGATGTCCTGCAGAAACTGGACGTCTCTGTCCGAGTCGTAGCTGCTGCCGTTCTGGCTCGCGTGCATCACGAACCTGGTGGTGAAGTGGTTAAGCGCGCAGAAGTCCGCGGCGCCCTTGACCAGCCGCCTTTCCTCCTCGGTGAAGCGAGGCAGTGTGGAGCGCGACAGCCCTTGCCTGTTCTTGAAGGCGATGTACTCCCTCATGGCCAATGGGTAGTCGCCGGTCTTGAAGAGCGGCTCTGCGAACCAGGCGATCTCGAACTGCAGGAACCGCTCGGCTGCCTTCCAGTGCGAGTCCGCGTAGGGGTTGGCGGGTTCCGCCCAGTCCGAGTGCAGAGACAGAGACAGGGCCCCGCGCTGCGCCGGCCGGTACTGCCGGTCATACAGGTGCCAGACCAGGGCATGGGCGATCAGCAGGTTGTGGGCTGCCCTGTAGGTGTCGTTACTAGTGTGGCTGTAGATGTCACTCAGCCGGTTAGGCTCATTGATGGTGATCCAGAGCTTCACCAGGTCCCCCAGCTCCTGGAAGCACAGCCGGGCATAGTCCTGGAAGGCCCTCACCGTGGATGAGCTCAGCCACCCGCCACTGTGCAGCAGTGGCAAGGGGAGGCCCAGGTGGGAGTGGGTTGGGTAGTACAAAGTGACCATGGGGGAGATGTTGAGCTTCAGCCCCTCGCTGACCACACACCTGTAGTACCTCAGAGCTTGTCGGTTAATCGTGGACAGGTTACCAGTGGGAAGGATTGAGGACCAGTCCAGAGCAAACCGGTAGTGGGTGACTTTCATCCTTGCCAACATCTCAAGTTGTCTTTTGATGCTGACAATATCTGTACATTGAGCTGGCCGCGTTTTCAGCCTCACTCCATCCACTCGGTGCAACAGTCTGTTGCCGGTCACATTCCACACATACAGGTGAGGATCATTGAACTGTGAGGAGAAAGCCACCGACTCGGGCTGTGAAAAACAAGCATATTTAGGTAAAGCTCACCCCAGCAGACAGGCTGTTAGCGTCCTAGTCTGAGAAGAAGGACCTGATCTTACTTTGCCTATCACTGACAGCAGAGAAAGTAAATGATGCATAAGCCCTTCATGATGACCTGTGTGTTACTGCTGTTCTCCTGGTGATGTCAGACAAAAGACCTGATGGATTAGTCTCCCTTCCAGACCTTGAAATCTCCCAGGGAGATCAGAAAACAGGGAAGGAACCACACCCAAGGCTTGACTTGGAAAGCAAGCTGTTTCTCATAAAACACTGAGAAGCTGTTTGCAGTTCTACTGTCATAAGACCCTAGGTTACAAAGCAGAGTCTCACATGATTCTGTTACAATTCCTCATGAAATCAGCTTGGTGCCCTCAGTTAAAAGGAATCACACACACACACACACACACACACACACACACACACCCCCAAACCTTGCCATTTGGGCCTCCCCTGGTGGCACAGGTGGTTGAGCGCAGCACTGTGAAGCTGTCCACAGCCTTTGCAGTGCTGGTTCGATCCCGGCTGGCCAGCGAGGGTACCACACGTCACGGCAGACCTGTCACACCTGCTGCTCCCCTCAGCAGTGTATTTTGTCAGTCTGCCTGTTCTGTTCCCTGCTCTGTCTCTGGTGAATCCTCTCACCCTCCCGCGAATCTGGCCTGTATCCCATTCTTGTATAAATAAATAAAATAAATCTTTTAAGAAAAAAATAAAACAAACCCTGCCATTAATTGAAGGCAAAGTTAAAATCCCAATAGTAGACAATTTCACTGAGATCAGCATTTGGGGTTAGAGGAGGCAGGTTGTTGACCCTGGCTGTAGTTCCCAAAAGACCAGTGGGCTGGGATAGGGAATAACCCCTTGTATTTGCAGAATAAAACTATAAAAATGCCTCCTGTTTGAAAGTGGTGACATATTTGCATCATTATGGTCTTGCCCATCCTGAGCCAATGAGAATATATTCACTCAACAGAATACTGAATGCTTTTCTTTGCACGAGGTACTTGAGTTATGATTAGAAAGGACAGTAAACTCCTAAATTGACCCCTGGATCTGGCAATGTCTCATTCCCTGACCCTCCACCAAGGAGACGACCCTGGGCTCCTAGTTCTTTCCCTTTAAAGCCATGCTTGGCAACTAGTGATGGAGCAATTGCATCTACCTCACAGGTGTGCTCTGAGGCATCACCAAGTGCTCTGTCAACTCTAGAGCACTCTATAAATATAAACCAGACAGGACCTGCTTTAATTTTCTCTGGTGGCAGTAATTGCTTGCTAGGCTCTTGAGTCTAAACTAAAGCTAACGTCTTACTAAAATTAAAGAAAAGGACTTAAGGAAAACACTTCTGAATTTGAGATTGTCAGAAAAGTAAAAGTTCTATACTTGTTTTATGTACTTTTTTTCCCTGGAAAAAGTGACAATTAACCTTTGGTAAATATTTTCCTTCTAATTGTTTTCTCATGTGTAATTTTCATAGTATAACTACAAAACCATTTTACTGCCCACTTACCATCTGCTAACCAGTTGTCTAGAACACTAAATGGTGGAAATACTGATCATGTGAACATGAAGTTAATCTGCATATAATTAAAATCTTCCTAGTTTAGATTGCCAGTTTTAGTGGTTTGAAACCTCATAGCATCATAGTTTTGAAAGGGTGTGAAGGCAATCTTAGTTATAATAATAAGGCAAAGCCAGATCAAATGAAAATCTAAAAATCTCTGGAAAGCATTACTCAGATTGCAAGTGGTTAATAGGTCTAGTTAAAGATCTCAACCCTAGCTCAGGGAGTTTCATTCTAAACTTCTATTCCCCACTGAAAGGAACCTGGATTTCTTGGAAAAGTGACTTTTTCCAAATCTGGAGCAGGAAAATGAGGTGATGCTGGTACATCCTGTGCTAGAAAAATAAGGAAGTGCTTAAACAGTGAAAGAATTGTCAAAAAGGTACAGGAGCCACTTAAAGGGGTCCCATTGGCCAGATTTGAGATAATTTGAGCATAGAGGACTAATGGGACTGACAATAATGAATTACAGCACACTGAAGAGTCCACCTAATAAATACAGGACTAATCAGAATTTCACCATTTTTGCACTGTACAAAAGTAATTCAGGCAAGCTTCATGAATTAATGTTTAAGACCACTGAGTGAAATTTTGGGGAACAGGCTACATATATGGCTTCATATCATCAAATTACTTCTTTTTTTTTTTAAACATTTATTTTTATTTATACAAGCACTGGGTACAGTCAGAAGCGCAGGAGGGTGAGAGAATTCACCAGAACCAGAGCTGGGAGCAGAGCAGGCAGGAGGACCGAAGTACACTGCTGAGGGGAGCAGCGGGCGGCAGGAGAGGTCTGCGCGCCATGTGGGACCCTCCTCCGGTGGCCGGGGAGCAGCTGGAGATCAAACCGGCGCTGCAGAGGCTGCGGGCAGCTTTGCAACCCAGCGCTCAACCACTGCGCCACCGGGGAGGCCCATCAAATTACTTCTTAATGACAAATAGGAAAATAACCTTTCATTTAAGAGGTTCAGGAAATGCCACCTTAACCTAGAATCTGGTGAACACTACCTCAATATACTAATGTCTTCAGTAACAAAACACTGATATCATGTAGCTCTGATGTGATGTATTAGGAAACATAACAGCATCTGTGTAGTATTCACTCCAGAAGTAGTGAACTGAATTTTTAAAAAGATTTATTTATTTATGCATACAAGAACTGGGATACAGGCCAGCGATGTGGGCGGTGAGAGGATTCACCAGAGACAGAGTGGGGAACAGAACAGGCAGATTGACTGAAATACACTGCTGAGGGGAGCAGCAGGCGACACAGGAGTCAAGAGAGGTTTGCTGCGCTATGTGGGTCTCCTCCCTGGCCGGGAATCGAATGTGTGCTGCAGTGGCTGCTGATAGCTTCGTAGATTGTGTCCCAACCCCTTGTGCCACCAGGGAGGCCCCCAATAGTGAACTGAATTTAATAGAGAAATCCATTAACATGAGACTTTTAAAATCAACTGGCCTCAACTATTTTTTTTTTTTATATTTAAAGGGCAGGTTTATTAGGGAGGGAATAAAACAGTTAAAGACACTTGCATTGACACAAGCGGGCAAGAAGAGCTGCCCCAGAAGGGACATGTTTGCTAAGAGAGGCCTGCATGGTTGCAGGCGGGCGGCCTTGACAGGTCACGGGCAGGCAGGAAGGCTGCTGCCCTGCAGAGGGAGAGAGTTGGTGAAAAGAGGCACCTGCATAGGCACAGGTGGGCAGTGGGAGTGCTGCCATGACCTGAACTATTAAAAAAAATATTAATACCATGAGGTGGGGAGTGGTTGCTCTGAATTCAAGGAGGCTAAATATTCAAGGAGGCTAAAGATACCAACATGTATACTTGTTTTCTTGATATACTTTTTTTTTTTTTTTAAGATTTATTTATTTATTTATACAAGCACTGGGTTCAGTCAGAAGCGCTGGAGGGTGAGAGAATTCACCAGAGCCAGAGCGGGGAGCAGAGCAGGCAGAAGGACCGAAGTACACTGCTGAGGGGAGCAGTGGGCAGCGGGAGAGGTCTGTGCGCCATGTGGGACCCTCGCTGGTGGCCGGGGATCGAACCAGCGCTGCAGAGGCTGTGGGCTGCTTCACAACCCAGCGCTCAACTGCTGCGCCACCGATAACTCTATGAAGGACATTTTGGAAAATTTAAACATGAATTATATGTTAGATGATATTGGATCAATATTAAATTTTCTAGCTGTGATGATGATACTATAACAATACAGGAAAATGTCTTTGTTCTTAAGAGACATGCTGAAATAATTTGGGATAATGGTAATGATGTCTGCGAACTTTTCAGTGGTTCATGAGAGAGATAGAGAGAATGTGGCAACATGTAAGCAATTGGCCAACTTGATGAGGGACTATTGGTATGTATTATTCTAGCTTAAAATTTCTCAAATAGGGCTTCTCTGGTGGCGCAGGGAGTTAGGACGCAATCTATGAAGCCTTCCGCAGCCACTGCAATACAAGTTCGATCCCCGGCCAGGGAGCAACACACATGGCGCAGCAGACCTCTCCTGACTCGTCCGCTGCTCCCCTCAGCAGTGTATTTCAGTCAGTCTGCCTGTTCTGTTCCCCACTCTGTCTCTGGTGAATCCTCTCACCCCCCACACCTCTGGCCTGTACCCCAGTTTTTGTATGCATAAATAAATTAAAAAAAATGTTCAAATAAAAAGCTGGAGGTGAAAAGAATGCTAAGAGGTGGAGGGGGAATAAGATAGGGATGTATGGGGGAAGGAATAATATTTTTATGGTATTTCTTTCACTTGTCAGTCTCTCCATAAAGGACATCTAGTTTTTTGCCTACACAGCATCTAGTCATATATCCTATAGATGATTTTTCAAAAAGCACCCTAAGTCTCCTTGGCAAATCATTCATCTTCACTATTAATTCAAGATAAATTGACTCCTTATTGGGCTACAGGTGTGAGCATGAAACCCAGCCTGAGGTGATCAGGGGAATTGCTTTCCCCTGACCCAAGTGATCAGCAGCCACTTAGAGAGTCAATCGCTGTGGGAACAGGTGTATTATTTTCAGATGCAGCAGCGATTTTTGTGGGGTGATAGATAAGCAGGAACTTTGGTCTCTTCTGAAATCTTTCTTTGCTAAGTCTAGAATTTGGGGAGCTATAAAAACCCATCTGAAGTGGTGAGAAAGAGAGGGCCAGCCTCTGCTGTGTGGAAAGGAAGATAGAAACTGAGTAGTAGCTCCATGGGGGGGACACAAGTGAAGATAATTATTCCCTGTGTTTATGTTAGTCTCTGTCTCCTTTTCCCTTTTACAACTACGATCCTTGTTTAATAACAGAATACTGCTTGTTTAAAACCTTGTTTCCTAATGGACTAACCCTCAACTCTGAAAGAGAAGTCTTACCATTTGTGACAACATGGAAGGAACTAGAGGGGGCGAAGCTAATTGAAATAACCCAGATGGAGAAAGACAAATACTGGATGATAACACTTATATGTGGCTATAAAGAAATAAAACAAAAGAACAGACAAAACCAAAACAAACCCTTGGGTTCTAACTGCAGAACTGAGGTTATCAGCGGGATAGAAAGGGTGGGAGCAAACCGAGGAGGGGGTTCAGTGGACTGTGGTGGAGGATGGATATTGGTAATTTGGTGGTGGGTGTGGCGTGATGACGTACGTTTGAAGAGGTGTGAACCTGTACCCCTAAAACATATGCAGTGTTATAAACTGGTGATACTTCAGAAATAATGTCTTGTTTAAATATCAACAGGGATGGAGATTCATCAGCTATAAGATTTGCCCTTTTATGGTTGGAGCCCTTTTTTCTGATGCCATCCCTTGTACATCTTGTTTCCCTATGCTTCTAGAATGCAGGTATGAGTGTGGTCTTTTGAGATGTTGCAGCATAATGGTATGGAGACAGATCTGGGCCACCAGGGCAGGTTTTTTTTTTTTTAAGATTTATTTATTTATTTATTTATACAAGAACCGGGGTACAGGCCAGATTCGCGGGAGGGTGAGAGGATTCACCAGACAGAGCGGGGAACAGAACAGTCAGACTGATGAAATACACTGCTGAGGGGAGCAGCGGGCGGCAGGAGAGGTCTGCTGTGCCATGTGGGACCCTCGCCGGCCGGCGGGGATCGAACTGGTGCTTCAGAGGCAGCGGACAGCTTCACAGTGCTACACTCAACTGCTTGCGCCACCAGGGGAGGCCCTAGGTGTTTGGTTTTTTAAAAATATTTATTTATTTATTTATAAAAGCACTGGGTACAGTCAGAAGCATGGGAGGGTGAGAGGATTCACCAGATCCAGAGCGGGGCAGACTGACGAAATACACTGCTGAGGGGAGCAGCGGGCGTGGCAGGAGAGGTCTGCGCATAATGTGCGATCAAACCGGTGCTGCAGAGGCTTCGGACAGTTTCGCAGCCCAGCACTCAACCGCTGTGCCACCAGGGGAGGCCCGGAGGCCCTAGGTTTTTTAACTTCCCTTCTGTTTGTAAAATAAGTGTTTTAAGATTCAGTAGAGAGGATGCTCACACATACAGCAGTTAAATGCTTGGCATATAGTAAAACTCAAACGTAACTATCAATGTTATTTTGGAAAGAGCTCTGTGTTTCTGGGGGCTTGAGGGTTGCTGTTACAGCTCTACAGCTATTTGTGTTTCCTTGGACAAATCACTTATGTCTCAATTATTGCTTGACATGTCTCACTTTCCTCATCTATAAATGAAGGATTGGGATAGGAGGTCTCTAAGGTCTCACCTGTCTCTAAAAATTGAGCTTGTTCATTCACTGTGGACTGAGCACCTGCCATGTGTCTGGCACTGCTCCAATAGGGCAAACACAGGCAGCAAAGACTCAAACATCTCCACCTCCATGTGGAGAGAGTTTACATTCTATTAGGGGAAGACAGATGATAAATAAGAAAAATGTGTTAGATAGTTACCAGGACTCAGGAGGTGGAGTTTGAAACAGAAAGACATCGGTTAAAGATTACAAACTTCCAGTTATGAGATTAACAAGTCCAGGGCTCAAATACACAGCATGGACATTACAGCTAATAATACTGTCGTCTGTACTTGAAAGTTGCTGAGAGAGTAGGTCTTAAATGTTCTCACCACAAAAAAAGAAATGGGAATCACGTGATAACATAGAGGTGTTAGCTGTGGCAGAACCACTCAGATCACCACCTACACCTTAAACTGACACAACTGAGTGTCAATTATAACTCAGTGAAGTTGGAGGGAGAAAAAGCTGTAAAGTACATAGAATGTTAACTAGGGATGAATGCGCCATAGGAAAATAAAGCAGGAATAGGAGGTGAGAGGTATTGGAGTTATGTTTTTTGGGGAAAGGAGCGAAACCTTATTGAGGTGACATTTGAGTAAATAATCTGGAGAAGGTGAGAAATGAGTCATGGGGAGAGACCCCATGGAAAACAGAGACCTTAATGCAGATTACCCAGATCTATCAAAGAGCAACAATCACTTTAAAGGGCCACTAATAAATTGCTTTTGGCAAAGCAAAAATCTATAAAAATATTTTTCATATAATTTTGACACTACTAAAAAATGCCTTTCATATAAATGCCTGTAAGTTTTCTCCAGACTTCGTGTTCATCTCCACCACCGAGTATGAGTTTTGGTACATGAGGTCTCAGTAAGCATTATTTTGTCTTTGTCTCCTTCCCTCTTTTCTTCAGTTCTCTTTAATGACCTTATAGTATTTGATATTGTCTGACAGTTATCTCTGGCTCTCACTGAGTAAATAAAATAAAATATTGTGTATTATTTGTGTCCAAATTATAGTTAATTTGCAAGTAGCTACTTACCTTAAGGACTGATTCAGTGACACCCCAGGAGAAGTCGCAGGGAAACTGACCCCGCACATCTGGTGTGGATTCTTTTAAAGTAAACCCATTCTCTCGTATGATCTGTTTATAGTAAAGTGCTGAAGACTTGGGCTTCCTTTCTTTTTGTGTACTATTAAAATTCACGTAAAATAATCCTCGGCGAGTGGTGTAAGCATCCTGCCATTCAAAGCCATCCAGGAGAGACCAGGCAGTGTAACCAAACACTTGTATTTTATCAAACCTTATTGCTGCACAGAAAGAAAAAAAAAAAGCAGAGGCCTAAACACGCTGGTTCATTTCACAATTTCACAAACAACCTGCCAGGGGACAGCCTAGTATGAAACCAACCCCCTTCCTACACTGTAAGCCCATTATATCAAATAGAAAACTCATGCCTATACTTGAAAAGTAGCAGTTATTTTCATGCAAAATAGTACCCACCCCCCAGCCATGAATGACATAAAGGAGCAAATTAAAATTATTCCTGAGCCTTAGTGTGTAAATCTGTGTCACAGGGCATGGTAATTTCCAGCCCTTTGGGACCAATGCAGATGTCTGTTTATGTCCAAGAATTTCTCATTTCAAGCTTGGGTTGGTTTCCATTTGTGCACAAACTATCTTCTAAGAAATTATCCTTCAGGGACTGAAAAAGCAGCTTTGAGAACTAACAAGGGGATGGCGCTCTAAGGAGGAGAAAGAAGCACCATGATGTAAGAACAAGAATTAACTGGGCCGAGGGGCAGGAGGCAGGAAGGCCTGCTCTGGAGGAATCCAGGGAGGGTGCTATTGGGCAAGTTTCTTGACCTCAGTTACCTTATTTGTGGAAAGATGACCTCTCAGGACCTTTCTAGCTTGAAAACACTGACTCAGTAACTCTTAGGAATTGGGTAAAATGAAATATGCAAGTCAACAGCAGCAATAAAAGTGACAAATTCCCAAAGCAACCGTCAATCATTTTTCTTAAAGGTTTTTGTTTCTCCTGTAGAAATGTCTTATTTCTACATTTTGGATATATATTTTTAATAACCTACAGTCTTTTCCTAAAGGGTGGAATATCCAGGCCAAGAGATTCCATGGAGACAAAAACATTTCAGTAGGCCCTGCTTCTGGTCTCCTTGCTGGCTAGTGTCCCGAAGTGGGGTGGTACAGTGGGGAATGGACACTTCTGCCCATGTGCATGCTGTCTGGTCTAGGCTCTGGAGGCAGAGTCTTCTCTGGAGACCCCATGTGCATGTATGTGCCATGGCTGACTGAGACTCATTTCATGCTGCCCCTTCCGGTGGGTCGGGAAGCAGCAGGGTCTTACTCTCCTCGAGGAGCCCCCTACCAGGATTCTATGCTGCAAAACCTGACGTATTCAGACTTAAGACTTTTTTAAAAAAATATTTATTTTATTTATTTATGCATACAAGAGCTGGTTGTAGGCCAAAGGTGTGGGGGGTGAGAGGATTCACCAGAGAGTGGGGAACAGAACAGGCAGGCTGACTGAAATACACTGCTGAGGGAAGCAGTGGGCGAGACAGGAGAGGTCTGCTGTGCCATGTGGGTCAGCTCCCTGGCCAGGGATCGAACTTGTGCTGCAGTGGCTGCTGATAGCTTCATAGTGCTGAGACTTAACCCCTTGTGCCACCAGGGAGGCCCTAAACGTATGACTTCTAAAAGAGCTACAAGGTTTTAAAACATGCATAGAAATTTCCTTTATATTTCAGTGAAATAAAGCCCAGTTCCATAGGGGGTAGAGCCATCATAATTCAGGCTTGTCTACTGCTCTATGATTTCAACCAGCCACCTGTAGATGTCACTACTTGAGTAATGCAGAGGAATGAGGGGCTAAGCAGGGGTCGGAGAAAGATCTAGGAGCCATGGAAATAAGTCAGCTTTGCCATTCATGACTCATTCTTTGTCTGCAACTTTTTCATCTTTCAGGCATATAATAAAAGTAAAAGGAGCACAATTTCAGGAAAAGCTTCCAGCATCTTAAAAGTGCTGTTGTTAGAAAACTTCAGACACACCTCTCTTAGCAGTATAATTTTCTTAACATACAGAAACCATCTTGTTGCCCTTTAAGGATGCATCTGCAGTCTATAAAGGGCATGAGAATAACATTAAAAAATTTCATCAGCATCAGGCAACAAAAGTAAGAGCCATATACGGGCATCCCTCTCTTGATTTTGCTCTGCTCTGTCCTGCTTCACAGATAATGTTTTTTTCTTTTTTTTACAAACCGAGAGTTTGTGGCAATCCTGTGATGAGTATTCATATTGTGCTCACTTTGTGTTCTGTGTCACACCTGGTAACTCTCAAAATATTTCAGACTTTTTCATTACTGTGGTATCTGCCATGGTCACCTGTGATCAGTGATCTTTGTTGTTACTGCTGTAATTGTTTTGGGGCACCACAAACCACACCCAGATATGCCAGCAAACTTTGCAATGTTGTGTATGTTCTGACTGCTCACAGCAGGCCGTCCCTTCTTGAGGCCTCCCGGTTCCCCGAGATACAACAATATTGAAATGAGGCCATTCAATATGGCCTCTCAGTGTTTAAGTGAAAGGAAGAGTCACACACCTCCTACTTTTAAAGCTTGAAATGATTGTGCTTAGTGTGGAAGGCATGCTGAAAGCTGAGACAGGCTGAAAGCTGGGCCCCTCGCACCAAGCAGTTAACTAAAGGGAAAGTTCTTGAAGGAAATTAAAAGTGTACTCCAGTGAGCACACAAATGATAAGAAAGGGAAACAGCTTTATTGCTGAGGAAAGAAAGTTTTAACTATTTCAATAAAGATCCAACCAGTCGCAACATTCCCAAAGCCAAACCCAGAGCAAGGCCTGAACTCTTCAATTTGATCAGGCTAAGAGAGGTGAGGAAGCTACAGAAGTTTGAAACTAGCACAAGTAGTTGTGTGGTTAAGGAAAGACGCCACCTCCATAACATCAAAGTGCAAGGTTGAGCAGCAAGTGGCGATGCAGATGCCTGTGGCAAGTTATCCAGAAGTATCTAACAGGGAAATTGATGGAGGTGATGACGCCAAACAACAGATTTTCAATGTAAACAAAACAGTTTATACAGTCACACATTGTTTAATGACAGGGATGTGTCCTGAGAAATGTGTTGTTAGATGATTTCTTCATTTTGTGAATGTCACAGCGTGTGTTACACAAACCTATGTTGTTGGGTCTACTTCACACCTAGACTCTACCTAGGACCTCTGTTGTTTATGTGGACTGCTGTTGACTGAAGCTTGGTTATGCATTCAATTGCATGATTGCATTTGAAGAAGATACCACATAGGATTTAAATAAGATAAGAAGTCAAAACTTGGCTTACAAGCTCTCAAGAACTGGGGTATAGGCCAGAGGTGTGTGTGTGGGGGTGGGAGTGAGAGGATTCACCAGAGACAGAGTGGGGAACAGAACAGGCAGACTGACTGAAATACACTGCTGAGGGGAGCAGCAGGCGTGTCAGGAGAGGTCTGCTGCGCCATGTGAGTAGATCCCTGGCCAGGGATCAAACTCAGTGCTGCAGTGGCTGGGGTAGCTTCATAGGTTGCGTCTTAACCCCTTGTGCCACCAGGGAGGTCCAAGAAATACCTTTTTTTAAGGTTATAACTGCCTCTGATGAATCTGGGCAAAGTTTATTGATTCATCCTGTTAAATACTATTAAGAACAGGCATTGACTCATAGGAGGAAAGCGAACTGTCAACATGAACAGGGGTTTGGAAGAAATTAATTTCAACCCTCTTGATGACTTTAAAAGTGCCTCAAGACTTAGTGGAGGAGGGCCTCCCCGGTGGCGCAGCGGTTGAGCGCTGGGTTGCGAAGCTGCCCGCGGCCTCTGCAGCGCCGGTTCGATCCCCGGCTGCTCCCCGGCCACCGGAGGAGGATCCCACATGGTGCGCAGACCTCTCCTGCCGCCCGCTGCTCCCCTCAGCAGTGTACTTCAGTCCTTCTGTCTGCTCTGCTCCCCACTCTGGCTCTGGTGAATTCTCTCACCCTCCCGCGCTTCTGACTGTACCCAGTGCATGTATAAACAAAACAAACAAACAAATATAATAAATTAAAAAAAAATGCCTCTATAAAAAAAAAAAAAGACTTAGTGGAGGAAGTAACTGCAGATGTGGTGAAAATAGCAAGAGAACTAGAAGTGGAGTCTGAAGATATGATTGAATTCCTGCGATTTCATGATAAAATTGGAATTGATGAGGAATTTCTTTTTATGTATGAACAAAGAAAGTGGATTCTTGAGATGGAATCTACTCATGGTGAAGACATCCAAAACATGTTAGGATATTACATAAACTTAGTAGATAAAGAGCAGCAGGGTCTAAGAGGATTGGCTCCAGTTTTGAAAGTTCTACAGTGGATAAAATGCTATTAAACAACAATACACACTACAGATAAATCTTCTGTGAATGGAAGAGTTGATAGATATGGCAAAATTCCTTGTTGTATTTTAAGAAATTTCCACCTCAACCTTCATAACCACAACCCTGATCAATCAGCAACCAGCAAGACCCTCCACCAGCAAAAATGCTATGACCTGATAAGAGTCAGATGATACTTAGCATTCTTTAGCAATGAAGTAAGTATTCATGTTGTTTTTAAAAACATGCTATTGAGCACTTAATAGGTTATAGTATAGTCATGCATCACTTAATGATATTTCAGTCAATGGAGACCACGTATATGACTGTGGTCTCAATAGTTTACCCAATAGCCTAGGGGTGCACGAGGCTCTATCATCTAGCCTGGGTAAGTATACTCTGTGATGCTGGCCTAACAACAAAATGGCCTAACAATGTATTTCTCAGAGTGTATCCCTGTCGTTAAGTGACATATGAATGTATAGTGTAAATGTGACTTTTATATACACTGGGAAAACAAAAAGTACATGTCTATAGCTTTATTGTGATATTCACTCTATTTTGGTGGTCTGCTATGGAATCCACACTATCTCTGAGGGTGCCTATATTCAAAGGTGACATTAAGTATCTAATAGGATAAGTATTCAAACTTCTTTAAAAACCTCAAGTTAAAGTGCAACCAACCTTGAAGAACCTGATTGAGGAAATTCTTCATCATATAGATGGCTGTGGTGTCTTCTGTTTTCACATAACTGTCTGTGAACCAGCCATTCTCAGCAATCAAGATTCGGGGGTTGCCATATTCCAGTTTAATCCAGTTCAGCATTTCTCTTAAATTCAGTGACACAATCTGCCCCATTTTAGTCATGGTGTTCTTGGGCTTGAAATTGTTGGGTCCAAAGGAAAAAGCAAAGAAATCAGCTGTGCCCCTGACCTCATTCTTCTCTGCTTCAGAGAAAATGGGTAGAATGGAGAGTATCTTCTTTTTCATTACCTCCGGATAGTCGCCATCCCCGTGGATAGGGTTGGCAAACCACCCGAGCACAGACACCATGGATTGCTGGCACTTGAGGATATCCATCATGTTTTCTGATCTGTTTGGCTCAATCCAATGGGATCCCAATGTGATTGATAACCAACCCTTCTGATGAGGCCGGAAATTGATGTTGTAGTTATGCCAAACTTTTGAATGAGCCTGATAAGAAGAAAAGATTATTAATCTTTTATTGTCCTTGCTTATGAGGGTTGTCACTTAGCCATTGGAAGTCTGCACATAGATAAAATTAATGAAGATTAGGGTGATGCTAGGGAAAGCTGCCCAGAAGCCTGGGTCACCTCAAAGTCAGTTTCTCCTACAAGTTTTGTTGAGAGGCAGGCAGTTCGCTAGTCCAAGCTCTAGCTTACTGCTGCTCTCCCTGGCTCCCTTCCTAGGCCCTCATGGGGCTGGGTGGTGCAGGTGAGATACTATGTGCATTAAAGGGCTCCTTCCTCTACATAAAAAAATACACTTAACAGTGATCTTTCATTGTTCTGCAGAATCTCTTTTTGGGGCCTCCTGGTGGCCTATGGGTTAAGTCACAGTGCTACCACCACCACGGCAGCCTGAGTTCGATCCCTGGCCAGGGAGCTGACCCACATGGTGCAGCAGACCCCTCCTGTCTCACCCGTTGCTCCCCTCAACAGTATTTCAGTAGCTATTCCTGTTCTGCTCCCCACTTTGTCTCTGGTGAATCCTCTCCCCCTTCCCACCTCTGCATCTCTGGTCTGCACTCCAGTACTTCCACACAAAAATAAATAAATAAAATCTTAAAAAAAAAAGTCTTTAAAAAAATCTCCTTTTGGCCATAACTTAGAAGTTCAGGATAAGAGCCTCTAAATTCTGTACGGGGATCATAAGAAAGTCTACCTTCCAGGCTTGTTGTGAGGACTGCATGAATTAATGTATATAAAGGGCTTTAGAACAGTGCCTACCACAGAGAAACTCATATAAACTGTAGCTATTACTACTATTTTTATTTATTTATTTTTATTTTTTATTTTTTTATATTTTATTTATTTATTTATTTATTTTATTTATATAACAGCTAGGGTACAGGCCAGAGGCTCGGGAGGGTGAGAGGATTCACCAGAGAGAGAGTGGGGAACAGAACAGGCAGACAGACCGAAAGCACTGCTGAGGGGAGCAGCAGGCGAGACAGGAGAAGTCTGCTGCGCCATGTGGGAACCTCCCTGGCTAGCCAGGAATGGAACCTGTGCTGCAGAAGCTGCGGACAGCTTCACAACGCTGCGCTCAACACCCTGCACCACCAGGGAGGTCCTATTACTACTATTTTTAAAATAAGGGTGGTGGGCACTACACAAAACAGAAAAATGTGGAAAATATATGCTCTTCGGGAACAGCACCCTTGAACTTGAAGTTCAGGTACTTCTGTGTGGTCTTAGCCAAGTCACATAACCTCCCTGAAGCTCTTAGTCTCCTCAACCAAAGTTAATAATAAAACCATTTGTAAAGTTGTTATTAGATGCAGAGCTGGGCCTCCCTGGTGGCGCAAGGGGTTAAGCACCACACTATGAAGCAGTCTGCAGCCTCTGCGGCAGGAGTTCGATCCCTGGCCGGCCAGGGAGGAACCCACATGGCGCAGCAGACCTCTCCTGTCTCGCCGGCTGCTCCCCTCAGCAATGTGCTTCAGTCATTCTGCCTGTTCTGTTCCCCACTCTGTCTTTAGTGAATCCTCTCACCACCCCTGACACCTCTTGCCTGTACCTCAGCACTTGTATACATAAATAAATAAATCTTTAAAAAAAAATTAGATGCAGAACTACTGTGTATGTTAACTATGTAGCATAGAATAGAGCACAGGAGGTGCTGCCTGAAGATGGATGTTTTGTTATTGATCCTCCTGGAGTTTGTATCTCCAGTTGCCTCTTATAACAGAGCCTTGTGATGATTTCCAGTCTGTTTCATAGGTACTTAATGATCACTTACTCAATACCTGGCTTGACCTGTCCTGAGAAGCTGAAATAAATGGCATAGGAACTTGCCCTCAGGAAACTATGATCTTATTAGGAAAATAAGACTAAGATGTGTAAAAGAGAAATATATTTCATAAAATATAGCATTAAATGAAAAAATAATTGAAAGCCAGAAGTCATGGTTCAGAACAGAGCTGTGAGCTATATCCGAAGGAGACACAAACTCTAAGGGCTCCAAGTAAGGACTCTAGGTCTGTTCAAAGCCCAAGGCCATTCTTGGTCCCAATCAGTCATAGAATGGACTTTATCTGTGTCTCAGCCTCCTCATTCCCTGGGCATTTGACTTTCTTGCCTTGCACGTCTATCCTGGTCTCCCAGCTTCTCCTCTACTTAAGTATCGCTAAAACAAGTGCACTCTCTCTTATTATTTTTAACTTACAAGTCTGCTTTCAGTTTTGTTCCTTAGTTTTTCTTTTGCTCCTTAGAGATCTTTTAAACTGGGTTGACTTATCTGAAAGTCTTTTTTAGGTTAAAAAAAAATGCATGATGATTCAAACCTAAAAGATCCTATGGGCCCTGAAAATATTGCATAAATCCTTTTAGGATGGAGAAAGGTAAGCATTAATGTAAGAGGTGAGGGGTCTAGAACTGGTGCCTCCTTGCTGTATGCAGGAAAATCTAAAGTAGTCCAGGTTTGGAGATATGACATCTGCCCACTTGTCCATATTTGAATTTCACTGGAAAAATCCAGAACCATTGAGCACCCAAACGTTTGTTCTCATGGATCTTAACCTTGTTCTTCTTTCAGAGAAATGCCCAGGTTGTAATCTCTCCCTGCCTCTAACCTAAGGTTCCAGTTTCTGGAAGGGATCACAGGTGAGCACAAGACAGGCTCCACCATAACTGGCCTCAGCTACTCTTTCTGGGATTTTTTAGGATTGGAATCACAATGGAAAGTCTTGGGAGCTTTTTTCTGATTCAAAACAAAATCAGTGGTGCTCTACTAGAATTCGAAGGGTATAGTCTTCACTTTGTTTTAATAAACAAATGATCACTTAATCCCTTGGAGCCTCAGCATTTGTTGTCAACCATAAAAACCACAGCGGTCAGTCCCTCTCTTCAGGGCCCTTGTGCACCTCTGAAGTGTAAACTGTAAAGCCCCAAACACGTAGAAGATTCTGAGCCATAAACTAGCTGCCTTGCAAATATAACAACATCAGACATTAAAGGGATAATAAGATGGAATCAGTATAAATGTTATTAAACCTGTACTGATAGAAATGTATTAGCTCTAATAGGAAAAAAAAGAGTCTCTTTAAAATACATGTTCTCTTGCATGTTTCAGTGATTATATGAAAAAAGTGCAATGGAATCGTGGTTACATCAGCATTTTTAGTGGGAAACAGGACAACCTAGAAGACAACAGACATGCATCTTTGAATATCTTTCCAAGCAAGTTTTCTCTATATATCTGAATGCGGTGTCCAGCCCCAAGGTGACCTTCACGGTCCACGGAGTCTCTTTCACCTTTGCTGGTATTTGCATAAGCTATCAAGGTATCCAGGGTTATCTCTGGTCTGGCCTGAAGACGGCCTCTCTATTCTCAGGTAGAGAATGTGGGGGAGGTTTTCTGGGTAGCCCTTATGGTTAGAACTCGATCCTATCTGCCAAGTAACAAAGTGAAAAAATATTACTCAGCTAAAGTAAGTTTGACATAAATCTTGATGAATCAGGGAAATCTACGCATGTCCTTTGGCCTGATGCTCAGAAAGTAGGTCTATTGAGAAAAATCAAATGGGGTTAGTAGGGGAGTACAACCCAGCCCCACAACCTTGCACAACAGTCGTTATGTGATTTTCCAAGGTTACCCTCTATCTTGTACAAGGCCATCTACCTTTGGAATGATTGATTTAAGGGAGCTTCAACCTTTGTTCTTTAGATTTAGTAGCTTAACAGGGAAGTCAGCAGCTTTTTCTTTTTGAACCAGCTATCAGGGCCTAATGTCATTGAGAGACAACCAGGGGTCTAATATCTTATTCTGCTCCCTCCTCTGTTCTAACATGACTGTTTTCTTTGATGCCCTGGAAGTCCAGACTCAGATAAGTTCTAAGGATGATAGGAAGCAAATAAGATAGCTGGCACAACTGTAGAAACGAAGAATGGGTTAGAGGTCAGGAAGACATAGCAGGACGCTGGAAGATGGGATGGGCTGAGGACAGGCAACAGGCTGAGCACATCATTTAAAAAAGTCCATATTCATTCCCTGGCCAGGGAGCTACCCACATAGTGTAGCAGACCTCTCCTGCCTTGCTCGCTGCTCCCCTCAGCTCTGCATTTCAGTCAGTCTGCCTGTTCTGTTCCCCACTCCGTCTCTGGTGAATCCTCTCACCCTCCCACACCTCTGGCCTGTACCCCAGTTCTTGTATGCATAAATAAATAAATCTTTATGAAAAGCCCATATATAAAGACAGCTGGTCATTGATCAAAGGTTAAGTTTTCTAATCTGCACCTGAGTTTAGTCACATTTTAGTTGAAATAGCTTCATATAAACTATATACTCATTTATTGCTGAAAATATGTAATAAAATATTAAAACTGCTAAGGAAAAATTTTTTTTAACCATAGATATTTATTTAAAGTAATACATATGCAACTCAGATAAGTTCTAAATTGTACGTTTGAGGTTTAAGTAACTTCATAAAAATCCTTTGTGGACAGCTGCAGCCAGATTTTGACTACATGATTATTTCTTTGCTCATTCTTCTCTCTCTCTTCTTTCCCGAATAACCTCTTTCAGGTATTGTTCAAGGTAGAATTTATCCTCTTCGTATTCTGTCCAATGCTCTTTAGGCAAGTTCTGCTGCCTGGTGGTCAGATCCAGTGCTCTCTTAATGCGAAACATCCTGTCATTATAAATGTTTTCAGGAAGTCTTTTTAGGGCTTCTTTTACGTCATCATCCTCATATATTGTATCATCTCGCATTAACACCAGTTTATTGAATCCTGCAGCATTGTAATGCCATTTTCGAATACCCTCCAGCCACCTGCCTGATGCTGAAACAGCTGGCCTGCCCACCATTTTGACCTGAGACTGATGCGTTTGTTAAGGAAATTTTATTTTAAAATCCCATAGCATGCTTTTCATATCTCTGTGTTCCCGTCTAGCATTTCCAAATATATTTCACAACTGAAATATTGTGGACAATTTCTATGCTGTTTTCA